TGGACCCGTGGCCGCTGCCGGTCCCAGGCATCGTGGGCAAATACCAGCCCCGTGCCCAGAAGCGCACCATGCGGCTCTTCAAGAGCTCCGACACAGGCGGGAAAAAGACCCCGAGAGCCGGAAGACGACCATCTCATTTGAGCAGATTTATTTCCCCCTGTTGGTTTAAACACGCATACATCGCGACCGGACATGTTTTCTTCTGTTTTCCAGGCGGCGGAAAAACACTGAGCCACGTGCTCAAAACCGATTCGGGGATTGATGAAGGTTAGTAAGGGACAATCCCCTTGCCATAAATAGCTGCGGATCTCCGGCTTAGTTCTTGAAGCATGGTTCTGGGTCAACCATTTTAAAACAAAGGGTTTTGATTGGGACTCATTTAAGTTGGTTTCCAGCAATCCGGTTCCTTAGGTTTCGAGTTTTGGCTGGTTTGGCGGTTGGGGTTCCCAATTTAACCCACAAGCTCGACTTTTGCAGCTGATCTCAGGAAAGCCCGCTAGAACCAACAACTAAAGGTGCCGAAGAATGGACATGCACTGGGGGCCGGGGCCCAAGACTGTATGTCTCAAGGATTCTGAACCTGTTGGTGTACTTCAGATGGCTGAGAGACATTGCTGGAAGAAGAGAGGCGCAGCATGTCAGCCTCTTGCCTTCCTTCAGTTTTGAACCAGCAAGCAACTTCCATGTGTCTGGCTGTCCAGGCTTTTTTCTGGGGTCTCCTGCAAAGCTAGTTCAGGTTTTGGGCAGACTAAATGAGCGCGTGTTTTTCTTTTGACGTTGGGCTAAAGGGACAGCAAAAGGACAAACCACCCATTTCGGAGTCCGATTTCTAAGAAATGACACCCCCTAATATGAAGCATAATCTGATGACAATACCCAGTGGGGCCAAGTTTGTGCCTGATGGCCAAGTTTTGTACTGGTTGTCCAAACAGTTCTGGTCTTGTCGGTGTTGTAAAGTAACAAAGGTACACTGCAAGAAGGGGTGGCCCTGTGTCTGTGTGTGTGTGTCTGTGTGCAAGTGTATGTGTTAGGGTATCCCTTGCACTTTTAGCGCAAAGCCAGTAAAGGGCAGTTCATGTTATTCAGGCGACTAATTATTATGGTTCTTCAGTGGCACCTTTGTTTCTCTTTTGTTTTGGCTTCCTTACTCAAAATGCTCAACCCCGAAAATGGAGCCTGCTCCAAGACTGCTTGGAGTTCCCGCCGGCGGGAAGATATGCGATGCAGCGCAACAGCGGGTCAGCAGATGCGCCAAGAATTTGGTCGCAACTGAGTCCAGCACATGGAGTGATCGACAGCGAGCGTGCAGCTGCGTGGCAACACCTACGCAGTGAAGCCATGCTTGGAGCTTCCTTGGCAAGGTCACTGGGAAGATCGTGAAGGCAAGAAATTGGAGGGGACCCTCAAACTACCCCAAACAAACAGGAATTCAGTCCATCATTTTTGGCAATCACCCTTTTTTAAGGGAATTTCGAGATTCCAGGTTGCCAACTATGACACACAAATCTAAAAGGTGGATCTTCCGGGCACCAAAACGTTCCTGGGACTTCCAATGGAAGACACATACCCCTCCATTGGACACCCCGACGGGTTTTGGGGTCTCCAGGTTCTAAATAAGCAAGCTCTTTTTTCGCCAACCAGGAACCCTGAAAATGGGGTGGCTCGGATAGGTTTGGATTTGGATGTGAACCACCGGGCTTCCAAATGAACCACCGGATTTGGATGTGGTTGAGGAAGTTAATGTGAAGCTTTCCCCGAACCTTCCAAACCACCGGGCTCCAAATCACAAAGAAGCTGATCCCATCCCCTCCCCTCCTCCTACCCTCCCATAGTTGTTGGGAACATTTTGCTTATTTTTGCTTATTGTGGTTGAGTGGTTGAACCAACCACTAAACTGCCAAAAAACACTCATTTCTGTTCCCCTTCCAACGTCAACCAAGCTTCCCCTCCTCCTCCCCTCCGTTCCCTCCTCCTCCCTCCCCTCCTTCCCCTCCTTTTCCCTCCCTCCCCCCCTCCCCTCCCTCCCCTCCTGCCCCCCTCCTCCTCCTCCCCGCCCTCCCCTTTGCTCGTCCCCGTCCACCGCCTCTCCCACCGCCCTTCGCCGCCCTTCGCCGCCCACGCCGCCTTCGCCTCTCCCGCGCGCCAGGCGTGCGCGAGGCCGCGGCGCGGGCCATGGCCACCAGCAAGGCCCAGGAGGCGCAGCCGCAGGCGGGAGCTGTGCCTCGACCGAAGGAATCTAAAAGAGCCAAAAGAGCCCCCCAAAACAAGAACACACATAACAAAAACAATACAAAGCAAAAGCAAAACAAAAACACACAAACAAACAAACAAACAAACACACAAACAACGACAAAAACACACACACACACATAAATAAATAAACAAACAACGAAAAATAAGAACATTCAAAAAAAAAACACTAAAAACTAAACAGCAACACACACAAACTTAAACAAGACGACAAACTTTATATATCGGACAATCGGAAGGCTCAGTGTGAGCATGAGCTGACAATCTTGCAACGGACTTAATCTTGCAACGGACTTTGTGGTAACTCAAGAAATCAGTTCGTCCTTACCCGGTTGCACGTGCTTTCGTATTCATTGTTCAAGGTGCACGGGTTATCGGAGGACTGCCAGGGAAAGCTTCCAGTGACCGTATAGTGACCGTGGACAAAGAACCCACCAGCTCGCCATTGACAAAAATATAAGTCCCCTCCCAGGCCCCCCAACTGCTTTCTCCCATGTCCACAACCAATATCTCTTCCATTTGCTTAATAATTTGGTTTATGTTCAATTGTTGGTTTTAAAGGGAATCCATCACTGTTACAGGACATATGCTTATTTTGTCCAGGGGGCGAAAAATGGGAAATCCTCTTGTCAAACAATTCCCACGTTGCTGGACCGCGCCTTCACACTTTCGTACGGCATGTGGCACCTCTCTTGGGGTCCCCAGTTAACTACAAGCCAACCACAAGTGGGGCAGGAGGTTGGGTGTGACCTGTTCTTGGGTAACCCTTGACCCTTTCTTTGGTGCATCTTGCTTGGATATTAGATCTCGTGTAGGTTTTATACCCCATTCAACTCGGGGATATGCATACCCAGCCCAGATCTCCATCCGTTGGATTTCAGGACCCTGCGGTGGTGCTTGCAGCCTCCACCATGGCGATGAAGTGCGCAGCCACCCCCAGCCCTCGACCGAACCGAGGAAGCCGATCTGAGGAGTTCATGATATATGTCCGGTAATGCTAACCCGGGGTTAATCAACCCCTGGTTGATTTTGATCGGGGGGTGTCCCCTTTTAGTGGGGATTCATCACTTTTGGAGGGAACACCCCCCTAATAATGGGACGGGTTTATTAATCCTGGGTCAACATTATGGGTTGCTTAGGCTGGTTTCCTAGTGGCAAGGAAGCAGCGTGGATTTGTTTGCGGCCCGGCCAACAAGGAAACCAAGATGGTTCCTCTTTGGATTGCTGCAACGGGAAACCAAGGGAAACCAACTTGCGGGGGTTCCTAACCCTGCCTTTGAGCAACATTGGTTGAAACAGCCAGACCCTGGCCCGGGAAACAGAATGACATGGCTTTAGCAGGTTGGCACAATCCAGTTTCTTCTTTTCACCGAGCCTCCCAGCCACGAATATAGTTATGTGTTTTTAGTAGCTTGAACTTTGCTTAACCATATTGTTGTGAATTGTCCTTGCTGGTTCTAAAATGAATTTATCACTACTGTAAGTATGTTTGATTTTGAGGTGGCTGAACAAATGGAAGGCAGGGAACCACCTTAGTGGTCGGTGGACATGAATCCCAACCTGAATGATGTCCAGACAAGTTCCATGTAAGGGGACTGGAGAAATCCATCCCGGAGGTCTTTGCTCCAAGGCTTGTATTAAGCCCGGTCCTTTCGGGGTGTCTTTCGGGGGGGCTGGTTTGGTCTTTGATGATTCTTTCAGAAGTCAACCTTCCAGCTACACTTTCCTTTCTCGTGGCACATCTAGCTCGAGGGTCACCCTTGTTGGAAATGGGTCTGGATTGCAGTCGTGACCCTTCCTTCTCTAACGGTTTTTTTCCCCAGCCGAAAGCTATGGGGTCGATAGGCCCAGATAGGCGATAAGGGTGGTTTGGGGTCTGGAGATCTGGTTCCGGGGGGTTCTGGCTGTTTGGGATACCACCACTTTTTTTTGTCGATATGGTGTGTCACGGAGTATAATCCTATCTTGAAAGAGCCCATGATATTCGCACGCGGCCGTTAGCTGATTTCGTCGGCGCCATTGCGCATTGCCACCCACTATGGAATGTTTGTTTGTTGATGCTAAGGCCCGGTATGCAAGGGGTGGATGGATCTACGCAAAAGCTGTACTCCGACCCCAACCCAAACGGTCCGATCGGTCAAAACGAAGTCGTCTAAGTTCAGGGATTCAGGAATGTGTTTCAAGCAGAGTCTCAACTCATCCATACCCATGCCGCGCATTACTGGCTCAAGGGGCACGTTGAACTCAATTGGTTTATCCGAAGCGCCTCTGGTGGAGCCTGCCATGTAGCTCAGTGCAGCCAAGGGCTTTTTGGATCCCCTCGCGTTATATGGTCCTGCCACGTTCACACAAAGGCAAGTAGCTTGACGCCTGGTTGAAGCCGTTTTCAGGCTGATCTCTATGTGTGATTCAAGGGCCAGCTGAGCCGACCAATGCTGCCTAGAACCTCTCTTCTGATTTTGACGGGTGCTCCCGGCAGCCACACACCAAACCGAACACTCCTGTATGTGTGTTCTGCAGGAAACCGCGCCCTTTCAAAACAGACCTTACGCATGATGAAATTTCTTGCCATCAATTTGGTCAATGGCATGTGAAGCTTGAAATGATCACTTAAGTCATGGTTGTTGTTGGGAAACAGTTTACATGTTTGCTTATTGCGGTTTAGTGGTTGAAATCCAACCACTTAACTGCTAAAACTTAAAATTATGCTCCCCTTCCAAGGTCAACCAAGAAGTTGTGCCGACTTCCACTTGACGTCGCCCGCCGGGTCTGCCGGGTTTGCCGCCAAAGACGCCATGCGGCCGCTGAAACTGCCGCTGAAAGCGGTGCTGCGTGCCAGTTCCACTGCCCCGGGAGCCACACCAGGCTACTTGGCAAGTGGTTCTAGTGGTTTGTTTCCCCCTGGTTTCCCTTGAAAAGCAAGCCAAAATTTGGGTATCCTCGATAAAGACATGTTCCCCATGCTGTGTGTGTGTTTTGCACAGAGGCCTTAATCTTCAATGCATTTGGGAAGCTACTGGAGTCAAACAACCTTTGAACTGGATGACTGCAAACAGTCGAACACCCGGTGGTGGCCATATGTTTTGGTTGATAGGTTTTCCCTTCCGACCAACTACCAAACATCGTTTGCTCTTGTTCGCCGCGGAGAGTATGTAGTTGCCTGTTTACCTACATACAGATCAAGGGATCCACTGGGACCTATACTTGGACAAACGCCTACCTGGCCCCTCAAACTACTCATCAAGAAGGGATTCTCCCCATACTTTTCGGGGCAATAACCAACTTTTATGGTGGAATTTTGAGGGTCCAGGTATGAAGTTCTGAGGTGGTTTGGTATCCAGAAAAACAAGAAAGCATCCCTAGGTGTGGTTCCCATGCCCAGATCCTAGGCCCGGCGGCCAAGCCGTCGCCGCCGCCGGCGCCCGCGAAGTCGTCGGCGGGGCCGGCGGTGGTCGGCTTTGTGGCCGGCGCCTCGCTGGCTGCGGCGGCGGTGTATGTGCTGCTGGACCGGCAGAAGGCGAGTTGGGGGACGTGCAAGTTCGAGGAGCCATGTGGGTGTGATTCTTTTTGAAGGGCACCCTGTTTTTCTTTCCTTTTGTTTGTAGTTTCGGTTTTGGAAGGAAACCGGGGGTTGCCTGAAAAACGACACGAGGTCTAGCCATAATCATAATACCCAGTGCTAATTGAGAGGGAGGGGGGCCCACTCAATTTCGATCGACAACTAGGGGACTTAGTTACTTACCAGAATCTTCCAGCTGCGATTTGTTTCCACCGTTTGCCGAAAAAGCAAATTGTTTAGTCCTTTGGTCGAAAAAGCGCTTTCTTACTGCAACAGTGTCGTTTTATTGTTTGGCTGGAAACATGGTCTTGGAAGGTAGCCGGTTGGGTGTTGCCCTTCATCACTGTTTCCCCGAAGAGGAAATAAAGTGAAAGTGCCTGGAGACAACAAAGTGTCGTTTGTCTGAAAAAGCAGCTTTTTCACGAAAAGTCATGAACAATACACACCTTGGATCCAGGACTTAGTACCCTGCAGATTGGCATTGAACCCTAGCAACGCTTTTGGAAGATGCTCCTTGTGGACCGCATTGTTGGGTTCCGCGTCAATTTGCAAGTGGAAGCTATTATCATGTACAACCTACAGGTAAACTACCGAAGGGTGGCTATAGTTGCGAAATGCCTGGAAGCACTGGGAAGGCCAAACAAGGCTAGAACCGTTTGTGCGAGATCTGTCTTTTTTGATAGGGCACCCCCCAAAATAATGTTTGTTTTCCCTCTGGTTTTCCTTAAACGGGGGAACCCTACAAAAAGATATTCCCATGAAAGAGGGGAGTTCACCAACCATCATTGTGGGCTGCAACAACCCACTTTTGAGATACAATTGTGAGGGTCCAGGAGCTTTTGGGCTGCAACAACCCATTTTTGAGATAAACAAAAATTGAGGGAGGAGCCAAGATCTCGGCCGCGCCAGGCACCCCCCGCGCCCATGATCAAGATCACGCCCTCGCCAGAGGCGCTGAAAGCAGCCAAGGAGGCTGCCTCAGCGGCTGCTGAGGCGGGCGAGCTGGTTGGCCGATGCGAGCTGGTCTCCGCCTCTGTTAGAGCCACTAGGCCACTAGGCCTTTCAGTAGTGGCCTTTTACCCTTTTGAGGGGTCCCCTAAAATAGACATATAGAAAAAGTGGGTACCAACTTATTCTAATCTCTCTACTGGAGGACCTAGGCGAGCTACAACGAGCTACACCTGGTACAACGAGCTCGCCGTAAAGGTTCTTTGGGGATCCAAGTCTTACTTGAGCTCCAAAAAGGTCCTTGGGAATCCAGTTCTTAAGAATCAGCTGTTGGATTGGTGGCTTGGTGGTCAGGATGGGTGGTTTCCCAAATTTACCCTCTAGTGGTTTCAGGGGTCAAAAGGAGGGGTTTCAGGAAGCTCGGAGGCTTTTAGGGGCACCTGGGAAAGTGTTTCTGAGTTTGTGCAGGTGCGCGTTAAGCCAGGTTGGTTTAAATGAAAACCAACAGGAAAATCGCATTAGTTTGGTGGACTGCCTTCTTAGGCAGTTTGACCCCTTTGTGCAATCCGCCATCCTCGCGTACCAAGGGATCTCTTTTGTTATTCGCTCCCACCTAGCATCCTGGAACCCATTTGTTCGAATCCATTCGACGGGTCACCCGAATAATATTGGAAAAGCTTAAACTTTGGCCAGGAAAACGCCAGGTCTGCTTTCCTGAGCTTCATTAGGCGTGAGTCCACTGTTCTTAGGTCATTCTTTTTCAGACTTTCCAGGTTTTGGCCTGTTCTCTGTTTGGCTTTTCTTCCGTGTCATTTTTTTCCCGCAAACGGTTCATTTCGTTTTTTGGGTGGATCCTGGCCACAGTTTTGAAGGATGGGTGATTTTCACCCTGGGTTGCTACAATCTTACGGTCCATGACACCCTGGGTTGCTACAATGTTACGGTCCATGTCATACTGTGGATGGGCGAAATCCATTTCGAACCACGAAATGAAACCATGGTTGAAGCCATTGTTTGTGGGCATTTACAGGGGAATCGAATCAATCCAGAGTTTCTTAGGCGGTTCGAAGTGGATTTCGCAACCATGCATAGTATGATTGGAAGATAGGAATTGCACGGGCTTTACTCTGAACATGAGGGGAGCTCGTGAATTTGTGGTCCCTTGAGGTTCTTCATTTCCGTTTTGGCACAATTCAAAAGTGGCAGATTCAATTGAAACCACCTGACAATTTATAAATGTCTGAAGTGGAATCCAGTGACGCCTGAGATGGTTCCACTTGACAGTCTACCAAAACCGGTTTTTGTTCGGCCAGTAGAACCCAGTTACCCAGGTTCTCAGCCATTCGGTTTAAAGGGTGGTTTCTTTGGTTTCCTGCTAAATGGATCCAGCGGGATAGGTGTTGAAACGTGTCAGTAAAAGTCCTGACCAGTTCTTTTGGCAACATATTTTACAATGGTTTTCCTTGAGAGTCTTCTGAGCCTCAATCAAAATCCGGTTAGATGAAGGTTAGGGATACTACCAACCAGCAATGGGTGCAGCCGTCTTTTTGATTCCTTAGATGATTTCATGGTGGGTAGACCATTTTAACACCAGCTGTTGATTTTGGCTCATCTAGCTATGTTTTTTTGTTTTTTGATTTGATGCCCACCAGGTGCCCAAGTCGCATTCGCACCCTAGCAAAACAAGGTTCCTTTTTTTTGCTGGTGCTGAGTAGGAAATGAAAGAACGAACCTGGGGGTCCCCTAGTGGAAACCACAAACTAAGGTTTATAGGGGTCATTCCATTTCTCATTCCCTGCCTATCGCACCAGCAAGTTTGCCCCAGTTTTCACAAGATCTCATTCAGGCGCTGCATGTTCTCCGCAGTAGGGACTCTTTGCTGGACATCATCTACAGTGTCAGATGTCCTTTACAGTGTCAGATGTCTACATTCACACCGTAGAAAAAAAGGAAAAAAGAAGAACACAAAACAGGATACCCTTTTTCCCCATAGGAAATCCTTAGGACGTTTGTTTTGTTGATTCAGGCTGCCGAGAAGCCGCAGCCGAAGAAGGAGAAGCCGAAGCCAGAGAAGCCGAAAGCGGAGGCGCCCGCTGAAGTACCCCCAAAAAAGCGGGGGATTGCAGCAGGTGGTTGGTTCTACTATAGCAAAGCCTGGTATAATATATGAATATATATATATATAATATATGAATATATATATATGGATATACATATATAATGCTTTCTATGTGTATATGGATACATATGCATACATATATATATATATATATATATTTACAATAGAGCCACAGGTCAACGTTTTTTTCGGGCGCGGCTCATGTGTGACCTGGCACCCCTATATGGAACCTTAAACAACGTCAGGGTGTTCGGCTCCTAGCAAGGGAACCATGCCCACGAGGGTTTTGACAGGATCGGCGCTTGGATTACAAAATCACATGACTTGGACGAGTGTGACAAACACTCCTGGCGGTTCCCTTCCGTCCGGTTTCTTAGGTGTTGTTTTTAGGATTTGAGTTGGATTAGTGGTTGGGTTTTCCTTGAACCCGCTAAAAGTTAAACTTTTAGCAGGGGATCTGAGGGCTTTTCAGTTTGTACTATCTTCCATGCCAGGGAAAGTGCTTTGGACTTTGGACCTGTCTTTCATGCCAGGGAAAGTGCTTTAGACTTTGGACCCTCTGGGTAATAAATCGAATCCCCTTGGTCTTCAGTTGCCCCGGAGATCTGACAAATGTTGATCGCGCAGGCACCGAAGAAGGACCGGGCACCCGATTTGGGGTTTGCGGATTGGCGGGAAGGCTTGCTGGATGCTAAGTGGGTGTCTTTTTTTTGAGTGTACCTTTTTTGGTGGTTGTTAAACCTCATTCCTTCAGTTCCTGGACTTAGAACTGTTAAGACAGTTTTAGAGGCAACCAACAAGTTTGGACTTTGTGTGGGGAAATCAAAGGGACACCAAACTACACTCACTATTTGTTGCACCCCCCCTTGTTTTGAGACACACCCAAGTAAGTACAAGTGAATGTTAATCAGTCTGGTCGTTTCGGTATAATTGAGTATCTAAGGAGCGACTGTTCATCTTAGCATAATGGACGATTCTGGAAAAATGAATGATACCAAACAACCGTTGGTATTTTTATTGTAGCAACATACTGAATACCAGAAGGTCACCTTAGTATGGCAACATCAATTACTTGGTACCTAGTTTACACCTGGTTTTCCGCTATGAAGGCGGCTTCCTGTGGGAAGTGCGTCGAAGTGCGTCGTTTGGTTGTACTTGCGCGCAAGCTCAACCTGGCCAAAACTTTGGTAGACCATTGGAGTCCTTTCGTTTGAGATCAGGGAAGACCAACCTCGGTTGCTCAGTGGCACCCTTTTTCTTTGTCCCTTTTTTTTCGGTGGCTGCCCCACTAAAAGTGGTCCAAGCCCCAAGAAGGGTTCCCTTTTTTTTCCAGGGTCACTGAACCACTGAGCAACCCAAAGATACCCTAGGGGGCAATTTCGTACAGGAAATGCTCCAAGGGCCCCAAAGTTTCTATGAGCCTTTGCCGGAGGGCCTATTTGCAGCCCCGGGGAGTTTGTTCTTCTTTCGAGTGTGGTCTATGGGACCATCCTGGGAAGCACACACCTTTGGTTGCTTCGTGGTCGTGCCACCCTGTTGAAACAGTTTAAACACACGGCAAAAAAACAACCTCCTTGTGGTTGCAGGCCCAGGCGAGCAAGTGAACATACAGGATATGGAGATTCTGTCCTTTCCAGAGGGCACTGGATACATGACCAGCCTAATTATTTTTTAAGGGAGCTCTTACCGGGCACTACATGGTTGTTGTTGGTAAACATTTTCCATGTTTGCTTATTGTGGTTTAGCGGTTGAAACCCCTACTTGACTGCTAGAAGTTGAATGTTTGCTCCCTTCCAACGTCAACCAACACCATATATTCTTGGTTGTGCTGGAAGCATTTTCGAGCTTGCGTGCCATGGGCAGGAGACCCTTGTACTTGGACTTGGTCAGGGGGCCCGTGAAAAGGAATTTCGGATTGGTCAAAAAATATGTTCGATCGAACTTTTGAGCTTGTGTCGTCTTCGTTGAGCGGTGGCTGAACCATAGTTTGAGCTTTGAACTTGGTGGCTTCCCGCCATCCCCTGGGGATTTTAGCTTTGTTGGTGTTTCACGGTTGGGGATTTCCACTTAACCCACTGAAAGTTCGACTTTTAGTGGGGGGTCCTGAGGACAGTAAACACCTGAATTTTGGATCAGCATTTGGAGAATCAGTTGTATGGATTCGTTGGGAAGCGAGTCAGGAGAAGGAGCCCACGCCAGAGGAGCTCGAGCAGGTGGGGGAATCGGAGGGGTGAGGTTGGGTTTCCCTTGTGGGGGTCGCTGGCTTTGGCATTTGGGTGTGTCTTCTGTTTTCTTGAGGGAACCCGTTTTTGGGGACCGCCTTATTTACTTAGTTAGTTGTTTATTATTTAGTTTTTTATTTATTTATTTATTTATTGATGTTGTGTTTGTTGTTGTTGTGTTTTTTTTTGGGGGGTCCCCTCATCGCAACCCAACCTAGACCTCTTGAGTAGGTTCTCACTTCAAGCTAGCACCAGGGCTCATGAGTCAACCTGAGTCGTAGCCGATAGAAATGCACTTCTGGAGGCCTCTTGGGTGCGTTTTTGTTGTTCGTTTCAAAGGGAAGCCAAGGAGACACCTTTTGTCTTTCTCTTCTTTTTTATTGGGGGGGGTTGTCTGTAGTTCAAGACAATTCCCTCTTGATGATTAGCGGATTAGGACGTCTTCCAAAACCTGTCCGCTCACATCCAAGATTGGAGGATAAGAAGATGGGTCACCTTACTGTTGCTTCAAACATGGGCCCCCGTCAAGCGATCCTCCAGCAAGCGCTTGAATTTTGAGGGCGCGGAGCAAGCAACCCAAGGACTTGTCACGCTCTTGACGGTTTGGCTTGGAGCCGTGGACGTATTTTGTAGACAGTTTGTTCTCCAAACTTTATCATTATCTGGACGCTTTATCCACAACAATTCAACTAAGTTTTATACTTTTGCATGGCTGTTCCAAACTTGATCCTTTCTACACGCTATATCCACAACCAACTGTTATACTGTAGAATGGCTGTTTCAACCCCACCCCCTAAATTCAACCGGGTGTGGTATGTACCCGACAACGGTCCTTCTTCGCCACAGCCATGTCTTAGCAGCCATCCGATCGAAGCCGACTTCAGAGGCCAAAAGAAGGAAGGAAGCCCAAGATGCGCTGGAGGCATGGAGCTAGGCATTGTTCGGTGCCAAGTCGCCGAAACCCTTTGTGAGATTTCTCGAAAGGAAGCTACAAAGCTGTGAGTATATGGCTGTGGGTCAAAACCAATGGTACCATCTTGGTAGGTGAGTTCACCACCCAAATGTTAGAACGCTTGAATCGGATCTTCACTGGTACGATTTGGCTTTTGACCCATGGCCATGGTGCATTTCCAGACCTTTGAAAGGCATTTTCTTGAATTTGCACTAAGACACAAATCGAGGCGGCCGGGGCGGTGGTGGCGGCAGCGGCCAGCGGGGCGCTGAAAGGCGTGGAGGCGGAGGTGGCCCAAGGCCCGGGCCCTCGGAGCCGCTCGGAGCCTCGGAGCCACGGAGAGTTTCCCGAAAGAAGCGGAGCTCGGGGAAGTCGTGGTTGGACTTGTTGCAAGGGGGCGATGTTCTTGGCGGAGATCCCTCACTCAGGGCGATGTTTTTAGTTCTTCTCGTTTTTTCCTTTTTTTCTCCTCCCGAAGGGTCTCGATTGTTTTTGGGCCCTCAAAACTGGTTGTTTTAAAGGGCCCCTGAGGGGTCGGGGTTCTCCATTGGAGGGTCCGGGGGTGTGCATTGGAGGGGTCATGACCCTTAGGGCTCTTTTTTTTGGGTTTTGTTCCCCGTTTTTTTTTTTGTGGTTTAGTGGATGGGTTCCATTTCATCCAAGAGTTACACTTTTAGCGGGGGATCTGAGGACAGCCTAGTATTGTAGTGGGAAATCCTTGAAGTTTGGTTGTTTGGCAGATCCACTCAGGAATTGAGCCCATCCTGATCGGTGATTTGAACCGTTTCGAGTCCAACATGTGAACCCATCGGATCCTTCTTTTCTCTGAGATCCATTGCTTGGGATTTTATCCAATTTCTGTTCTTCCAAAGGATTGTTCGAGCCTGTTGCAGACATGCGGTGTGGCAAACCAACCGTATTCACATTGTATGGACATAGAAAAGGGGACATCTGACACTGTAGATGATGGATGAGACCTTGTGAAAACTGGGGTAAACTTGCCGGTTCTCAGCAGGGAATGAGGGAATGACTCGTATGAACCATCCCCGATTTGGTTTCCTTTATTCGGGAATCCCGTTCCCACACCCGGACTCGTTGTCATTCAGTAAACCACCCTAAATGTGAGGGCCTAAGACTCAGACCTCATTTCCAGGTCTCGTGTGGTGTTTTCCTGTTTGGTCCACTTTTCGTACACTCACTTTCTGACTTTCTGGACTTTATACTTTGTTGGTTTGGACCATTTTAGTGGTACACAAAACGTTTGGACTTTTTTCTGACCGATCTACTCGGGAAGTGAGTTACAGGTCATAGAAGGTCCAATTTGGATTTCTAGGTCCGTTGGGCCAGTGAATGCGTGGTTTCCTTGGCTTCCCTTTTTAGCACACTCCAAAACGGGGTACTGCATGGCGCATTCTTCAGACATGTGTCGGTCGCAGACGTGTTGTATTGGGGAATGGGAAAGCTGAATTGCTGGTTTTCAGCAGAGAATGAGACAATGCCCATCCTTTGTGGTCTCCTTCAAGGGCATCCCTAGGTTCGTGTCCAATTCGGTTAAGGGGATTGGGTTCATTCCATCCTGAAACCACAGAGCACCAGCAAGCACAAGGCTGTGCCTTGCCTTAGGGGACCCACCACAATGATGGTTGTCCTTTTGGTTCTTTTCAAGCACCACACAAACAAAGGTCACTAAAAACAAAAAACGAACGCCCAAAGCGAGACGCAGTGCTTCGGCTTTCAGGCACCCGGCGCCGTGAGGAGGCTTTGGCAGCCTTGAAGCACGCGCTGGCGCGGCAGCCCGGGCTCGCGACATCGGAGGGAGACGCCTGGTTTTCTTCCATTTGCTTAGGAATATTTTTTCCTGTTTTGGTTTTAAAGGGAAATTATCGCTACTGGTTCTGACCCTGCCCTAAGGGTCTCGATTGTTTTTGGGCCCTCAAAACTGGTTGTTTTAAAGGGCCCCTGAGGGGTCGGGGTTCTCCATTGGAGGGTCCGGGGGTGTGCATTGGAGGGGTCGTGACCCTTAGGGTGAGTGTATTTTTGTTCACCCGAACTTGTTTTTATCGACCCGTCTGCAGGTTTGAGCGCAGGTGTCCGGACCAACAAACAGGTTGCCCACATTGGAGGTCGAACTAGAGAAAGTTCAGAATTTCAATCCTCCAAGAGTCATGGAAGCGAACAGAAGAGTCGAAGACGAGTCGAAGACTACAGTCCTTTGAAAAGGCTTGGTAATGTTGGACTCTCTTTAATGTGAACCCCCCCCCCTAAACAGTGTCGGCGGGACTCTCGTCTGGGAGGGGCAGCATTGCCAATTCTACTTTAGTATTGCCAAAGCTCCCTCTCAGATTTCCAGTACTTACTTTAGTATTGCTAATTCTATTTTAGTATTGCCAAGGCTGACTCTCAGATCCCCAGTGCTTAACTTTAGTGTTGCCAATTCTACTTTAGTATTGCCAAGCATCGTTGTTTTCAGCAACCCCCAAAACCTGTTGGACACTAAAGAGGGCCCCAATACAGTCGCATTGAAGAGGACCTGGGCCTCTTGTGGGCACCCCCCTTTGTGTGACTGTTTGCCTCTTGTTTTTCGTAAAGACGTTATCTTAAATTTGATGGTTGGGAAACAGCTTGCAAAATCCATTTCCTAGATGATTTCAGGCCTTTAACCTTTGAGCTGGCACCCCCCTTTGTTTGACCCGCACGTTTTTTGTAAAGATGTTATCTTAAATTTGATGGTTTGGGGACCACTTCAAGAAAAGGATTTCCCAATGTTTGCCAGGATTTGTTTGCCCGTCATTTTGCCCGACTTGTTTGCCAAGTTTTTCCCATATTTTCCCAGCGTTGTTTCCAGGGAAAAAAAAAGCGACTTTCCACAATAGAGGACCCCTGAAACAGGCAAACGATTCTGAATTAGAAAACAAATCCACAATAGAGAGTACTATTAATACAGGAGGTCCAACATTATAGTGAGAACCTTCCATTTGCTGAAATGACTATGTGAAAACAAACAACACAATTCCCTGTTAATCTGTTATGCTGCACAGGCGTGACGTGTTTTTTTTTTTCCCCAGGGGAAGTGGAAGGTGCCAATCAGCTACTGGAGCCCCCCAGTGGTGGGAAGCTTCCCATTGGAACTCTCCAAATCCTCCTCACTAGCCCTTAGTTATGGCGATCGTTTACGGGAAATCAGCAACCTGAAAGAGTCCAAAATGGCCATGGGTTTATATCAGCCTTGGATAGGTGTGGGGTTATCCAAACATGATCAATCTCGACTAAGGCGTCCCTTTTTCTGCCACTGGGCTGTTCCTCTTGGGTGGCACCTTCACGGGGCTCATGAGGGAAGCGAGCACTTCGTCAGAGGCCAGTGACCCAAAGTTTCTTAACTTGGGTATCACCATTGTTACTAACTACTTACTCGCTCGAGTTCCTGCACTTGATTTTTTTGGGTTTGGACCATTTTGGTGGTAACAAACAGAGTTTCTTTTTTTTAGCCTAAGCGTTACAACTTACGGACAAGGCCCTTGTCAATTACTTACCATTCACCAACATATTGAACAGGGAGGGAACTGGGAACCATTGTTTGCTGGTATTTGCAGGGGGAATCATCAGAAGCCATGTTTTTTTTGGTTGGGTGGCGCGAACGGATTTCCTCCATCAACAGTATGAATCGGGTCCTTTGAGCAAGTGAGTTATCCTTTTTGAATTGTAACAAATGCAGATCCACTGCCAGCACCCCCGAGACTGCTTTTTGGACAGCACACGGGGGATGTTGGACATGGTTGAAGAAGCAGTAGTTGGGACCTGGGTGCTGGTGGTTGAAAAGTGACGGATTCCTGCCATATGTGCCATGGTCAAAAGACCGGTTGCTTTACTTGGGGACAGGATGGTCATCCACATGGTAGTACGGATCCTTAAATGTCCATTCTAGTGATTCCGCATGGAAGTAAGGAACCCAAAGGAGCCATGACTTAATGGCTATATATGTTCCCGGTTCCAGGAACTCTGAACCAAAACCAACCCACTCACAACCACCCCACGGGGGGGGGGGAGACCATAAGCCAATCGGCCGAAGAAACGGAGGTTTTGACCACAGAAGGTTATGTCTTTTCTGAAAAGGCACCCCCCAACAAAAATAAAATTGGCTCTCCTCATGTTTTCCCTTTACCCAACCCCAAAAAGGGTACCCTGATATGGACCAAGACACCCATATGAGGCCCCGCATCTGAGGACCTCGGTGAGGCTCACAGCATCAAGGCGGCCCTGCAGGCCGCGCGAGCGGCGAATCTCAGCGCAGCACGGGGCCCGGCCTCAAAAACGGCCATGGACGCACTGCAGATGGCTGGAGTTCGGGCAGGTTTGAGGCTCGATTCCTGGTCGATATATGCATAATGCACAAAATCCAAAGCTTTATGAGTGGAGACTTCAATCTTGCCACCTGGATACCTTCACAAGAGAATCTGCTGATGTGGGGGTGCCAAGAATTGTTGGCAGAGCAACTCATTCTCCACTTGGTGTGTAGGAGTGTAATCTCTTCTTGGCCAGAGGTGCTCTAGCAGGTGCGCGTATGGGTGTCTTAATTTGAGGGTGCCAGATATAGAAAGAATATTATTAAATTGTTTTCTCCTCCAATAATCATGGAAGTGGACATGCGGGTTCTGGAGGACTTGTTGAAAAGAGGGTAGGCGTTTCACCACTATAGCGACATGTTTACCAGGTTTCACCTGGTGTTTTTTCCTGGGTGCCTGCTCTGGCGGTAACTGGAAGCCCCTGTGTGACAAGTATTTGAAACAACATCTGAAGGCGCTGTTGGAATGCTCAATATATGTGGGTCAAGCTAGATGGTCTGGGAGGCATCGCTAAGTGGTTACTTTGCCTCCAAGAAACACCCAGTTCATACCCTTGTACTCCAGGTAAGTAGGATTACCAGCCAATCAGCTAACACCCCAGCACATTGTCAGCTTCTGTTGTTTGTCTTTGTGTTGATCTGTTTGTGCTTGGGAAGCCATAAACCAAAAAGGGTGTTGCATGTTTGAACCCGTGAGCTCCAAAGAAAGGGGGGCTCAATTGTCCCAGGCGATTTGGCCCAAGGTGTGCTTTGGGTGTTCTCGTGCTGGCGTATGGGGACCATACTTCTGTCAAGTTAAATTGTTGCTGGTTAAGTTTGACCAAGGTGTTACTCTCCCACACGCTAACATTCAGGTGACCTTCATTTGGTGGTTGTGATTGGTGGTTTGAGAAATCTACCCGTTAACCAACCCGAACAGCCAATTAGAGGGAAGATTGAAATTATGTATATATCCAAGAAACCGGCTACAGGAATTTCTACAGTTGAAATTCCCCTTGGTTCTTGTGGGCATCTTGGGTAATCCAGCAAGATCTTTTCGCGGTTCCCTGGTTTCAAAAAAGACGCAGCCAGCGGAGTCAGGCAGAGATGCAGCTGGCGGAGTCTTTGTGCACTTCCCTAGAGGAGAGTTGACTTCCAGGGCCCCGGGTCGGGTTAGCCTCCAGCGGGGAAAAGGCGTGTGTGATTCTCACGAAGGGCTCAGACACGGCTGTTGTAGCAAGTTTGAAGATGCCAAAAACTTGTGAATCATACTGTGGATGTTTGCGAAGTCCGGTCGCACCAAGAAACCCCGGAAATGATTCGATTCGCCGGTAAATACCAACAAGCAATGAGTTGTCAACCATAGTTTCAATGTGGTGCAGGATTTCGTCCATCCACAGTAGGTGTGCTTAGGTCAGTTTGCTTAGCAACAGATCGGTTGCACTGGTTTAGATTGGTTTCATGCCATCCATTTACCAGGGAACCCAATCAATTTCTGAATCATCATTTGGTTGCCGATGCTACGCACCAAGACTCTTGTTGTCAGGCTTAAATATATCCAACAACAAGCTCAAGTGTGCCACAGGTGTTTGGCATCTGGATTCCGACCAACCAAGTCTTTGCTGGGGGTGGGCAGTGGTGTCTAGCACTCTTTGTAGGGACATCGTCCCGACGTTGTCATCTCTTTCTCTCCCTCCGTGTCATATCCATTTTACGTACGGGTCCGCAAAATGGTGGGTGTTCCTCTTGGTTTTCCTTCAAAGCCAAAAAAGGGTACCCTCAGCAAAATGACAGACCCGTATTCCCGAAAGAAGGTATTTTACAGGCAACCCAGAGGGTCCCTCGGTACCGATCCATAGCTGCGGATGAATCCGGGATCTGCGGATGAATCCACGAAGCAAACCCAACAGCTGAAAGCCAAGGGACCTGCCGGATAAGCGATTCCCTTTAAACAAATCGCAAAGAAACATTAACACCATCCTTGACTGCTATTGGGTTGGATCTTTGGACTTTAACTTTTTGGGAAATAAAGGGATTTTCCACTAAACCCCCAAAAAGTTAAACTTTTTGCAGGGGGGGCAACAGCAACCAAGCATTGGTTTCGGTGCTGAAAGAGGCGAAGGAAGGTGTACTTAAGCAAGTGGACAATTTTGAGCATGCAACCCCCGGGACTTGCAACCAGTGGGTTGAACAACTGGTTAGCCGCTGACCAGGTACGTGGAATCATACGGTCGATGCCCTAAGTATTGCAAGTGAGGAAAAATTTATGTAATGTCCCCATGGTTCTGGTTGGTTTACTTCCAATTTACCGTACCCGTTTGTCTCAAATGGGGGGGGATGTTGGAAACCATGTGAAATCCACCTAGAGCCTCCTTCTAGCCCTTTAAACATGTGGTCATGACTCCTCGTTTTTTTTAAGAATCCCCATTTTTGAAGGGTCACAAGGAGACTCCAGGTAGAGGCAATACCGAATGGCCTACAGTGGCGAAGCGCACTGAAGCCAAATACCAGGGGACGCGTCTTCATTTGAGGGTACCGCTTTTTTTTTTGCGGTGTTGAAACGGAAACCCAAGAAAAGAAAACCACCATTCTGGGTGTCCCCGTGCAAAAAAAATCTCTTTGGGCAAGGCTCCGTGGAGCTGCGTGCACAGGAGACATCCCCCGAAGACCTTCTGGAGATTCCTGAGGCTCGCGGGTTTGCTGGAAGGCTGCTTCTCACCTCCCCAGTTGGTGGGAGTGGATCAAACATGGGAACCCGAAATGGAAGCCGGGTAAACGGCAACGAGGACTAGAACCTGCGGTCTGTCCGTGGTGGCAGAATTTGAGCCATAGCCAGTTTTTTGGACTTCAACCGTTTTGTAACAACCAACTTAGGGGCAAACAAGCAGTTCGGATGGTTCTACACGGGAAGGTAAGACTTAGAGGGGTCCATTGTTTCAGGTTGGTGGATCATGTCGTTGGTGGTGTAGCACACTGTGCTCATTGTGCTCATTCGTGGGCTTACTGCAAGGTTTACCCAGGTCCATCCCTGATATCCCTCAAGAGGCAGAGGATTTGGTGAGTGAGTAGTCGTGGTACAAATGGGTATGGGTCAAAATTAAACCACCAGGGGACTGCAGGTTTTAGTCTTTGGTTCCATTCAGCAGGGTTCCATTTTGTGTACCTATTTGGGGTCATAGGCATGCTTGCGCGGCGCTTCCGTAGCCTGCAACTTTCAGTAGTTCGATTCTTGGCTGCCAGCAAACAATCGGCCGTAGCAATGAAGTGGTTGAGTCTCCCTCCAAGCAATTTTCAAACCCAAGTGTCACTCAGAAAGCCGAAAAGGCGTAGCATGGCGTAGCGTCCGAGTCCCATCAAAATGCAACCACGACTCAGTTGCTTGGTGAGCTTATGAGGCACTCTTGGGCCGATGTCCTTGGCGTCTGAGCCTGGACTCAGTTGTGGCACCAATTCGCTTTCTTTATTTTTTGGTGGCTGCCCCACTAAAAACGGTTTTCCATGGTTATCCCCAAAAAGGGTCCCTTTTGTTTCCAGGGTCACTGAGCAACTGAGTGGAGATTCTGCCTTTGGATCAAGTAGTTGGATTCCCGACCAAAAATGGTCACCCCATTGAAAAGGTTCGCTTTGTCTTGCTGGTTCTCACCAGGGAATGTGGGAATGAACCCGAGAAAAGCCATCCCCTATGGCTTCCTTTGAGGGAGTCCACTTCCGGTTCATTCCCCAACACCCTTTCCCTACTGAGCACCAGCAAGTTGTCCACCAGGTTCACAAGTGGGTTGATGAGGCCATTCTGAACTATCACTTTCATAACTCTCCTCCAACACGGCGAGCTGGTATGTTCAACTCACTTCGCAACCTCACACAGCTTTGGGTTTTCGAGCGACGGGTCGTGATGAAGCCTTTCTTTTTTGGGTGCCCGGGAAGTCAAAACCAGACGTTGCGGCCGTAAGGCTTGCCCGTCCACACAAATCCGGAATCTGACCGGAGCCTGGAAGAGTTGAGAACAGCTCAGCAACATGTCTTTGAACATGGTTGTTGTGGGGAAACATGTTGCATTTTGGCTTATTGTGGTTTAGTTGGAAATCCCCACTCAACTGTGCAAAAACTTAATTTTTTGCACCCCTTCCAACGTCAACCAAGTGAAGAGCCGGCCATTGGCCGCGCTGAACAGGAAGTTGTTGGAACCTGTTTAATTAGGCGTCCGCTTGGAGGTGACGCTATCTCAGGGCTCAAACTTGTTAGATACGCCACGACAAGATGGCCGTCGCCAGGTTTGTTCCTCAAGGGTTTCTTTGAGAAGCTGAACCAATCTAGAAGCCGAATTCGAACCCTCTCAGTTTGCTTCAACTTCATGCGGAGACCCCAAGAGAGTCTTGAAGTGGGTGCCTCGCTATCCCGAAAGCTGCCCACGGGGAGACATTTTGCTTGAAGTTTGTAGATGGTGAGAGGGTGCCAAGATTGGGGGAGTTTGGACCGAGAACGTATGGTTCCCAATTGAGAAACCACGACAACATGGTCTACGTTTTGTGTATTGACCATGGCACAAACCAGTCTTTCCCGGCTAAGTGCCAATACATCTTGAGACATACCCTAAGAATCCTGAAGCTTGGTATGCAGAACCCGGGGCTTTTCATACACCGTTTTTGAGCCCCGAAATCGATCAGGACCCTCAAAACTTAACTGCCGAAGCTTCGGCTCCCGGACCTTTCGCGATCCAGGTGTTTGGTTTTTTTGCCCACTTTCCAAAATGCTGCTGCTCAGTAGGGAATGACCTTCTGAGACTGGGTCTTGGGAATGAACCAGAAGGGGATTCCCTGAAAGAAGCAAGGGAGGGCTTTTCTTCTGATCATTCCAACTCATTCCCTGCTGAGAGCCAGCAAGGGTGTTTTTTTGCTGGTTTCTAAGAGCAGCGAATTGAGTGGCAGCAGACTTCTGAGGAGTTCCGGGTGGATCCGAGTGCCGCCTATGCCAACGAGCTGCAACGCAGTGAGGGCAAGAGCCGGGAGGAGCTTCCGGCAACGGGTCCCAGGCGGTTCAAGTAACACACAAGACTACATAGTCAATGGTATTCCTACGTGATCATGACCAGACTTGCTTTTGGTTTTCCAGAATTCCATCCTACTATCGCGTAGATCCGTACTGGCGATGATCGACCCGCATGACCACCTGCGCCCTTGAAATGAAAAACTGTTTTTTGCAGCCCAAAACTATGGTTGGTGATATCCCCTTTCTATGTTGGTAGCTTCAGTGTCCAGGCACACCCGCACCATCCTTTGGGCAAGCCCTTGCGCACTTGACTTGGAGCACAGGAGACGTGCCCCGAGGACCTCCGAGAGATCCTTTTGGTTTGGCTTTAAAAGCCACAACGCAAAGGTGGCTCCAGCCTTCTAACAGAAATGACAAACCAAAACTTTGGGTTGCAAAATCCCAATTTTAAGCTGGACTTTTGAGGGGTCCAATATTATGGTTGGTGAGTTCACTTCTTGTATGTTGGTAGTTTGAGGGTCCAGGCAGAAACAAGAAGGGTACCAGCTCAGTTGGAGGTTGATCAATCTGCCTGGCCCCCAAATGACCATGGAAATGTAGGAAATTGCAAATCTTTTTAGTGGTGATCCAACCAATGGTCATCCCATGCATCACGGACCTGTCGATTAACCCCGTAAGGACAGAGCCACATGGCTGTGGTTGTCAAAACCGTTTTGGATCCCATTTCGGGGCTTTCGGTGAATTCACCACCCTTTTTTCCGTCTATAGTGGGGATTGAATCGGATGTTTTCAGGGGGGGTACGATTTGGCTTTTGGGCTTTTGACCCATGGCCACATGGACATGAGTCGCAATCAAAACCCGGGTAGATGAAGGTTAGTAAGGGACCATCCCAACCATAAACAGCTGCGGATATCCGCCTTCTTAGTTCTCGAAGCATGTGTCTGGGTATATAGACCATCTTAATACCGTGTTTTGATTATGACTCATGTGTGAACTACAACTTGTCTACCGGGAGTTGATTTTGGGACTCATTTGTACCAGCAATACGGTCCCTTGGGTTTTGAGTTGTTGTTTCGCTGGTTTGGCGGTTTCCGAGTCTAACCCACAAGTTAGCGACTCACATGGCTCCAGCCTCCTCCAGCGGCACAGGAGCTGCAGCAGCGTGTGGTGGAGCTCACTCGATTGCTGGCCACCGCTCGCCTGCACTCCCGCAGCAGACTGGAACAGGCGCAAGCGGGCGAGAGGGCCGGCGGCTGTTCCGTTTTTTTTGTTTTTTTGTACTGACCTACTAAGTGTCTTGTTTTGGTTTGTTTTGTTTTGTGTGTTTTATGAGATAGGCTGACTCAATATGGGTGAGTCTTTTTTTTGGAGCACGTCTTTGTAGAGGCGCTTAAAGGAAAGCCATCATTGTTTTGGGGAGGCCCGTAGAAAAGAAAAGCACACCCAAATGTGTTGATAGGATAGCCTTACCATATGATATGAGTTTGTTTTGTTGGCGTGGGGGGCATGGACTAAATATGTGAAACAGACTTAGACCATGTGTTTGGAATACCACCAGACTAGACTTACTATGAAACAGAGCCAAAAACAACAAACAAACATATTTTGAGTATCCCGGCCCCAGACTAGACTTGATATTACTCATAGTATGTCTTTTTTTTGGATTACTCCAGATGTGGGCCGAGCTGTAGGTGTGTGGTTTTGAAGTTGGTGCTTGTTAAGGTCGGCCCAAAGGGAAAGGCACATGGAAAGCCAGGCGGGGTCTGCTCCAACAGGAATCCAACATGTCTTCTGGTGGTCTTCAACACCTTTTAGGCCACGTGATGATGTTTTGAGGGGAGGTATCAATATGCCAAGATTTGACCCATTTGGAGGGTAGATGTGGATAACTATTGCTGGGTCCCCCGGCTAGGTGCCCTTTCTCATCCCTTTTTTGGTTGGGAGGGTTCCCCTACTAAAATAGACTACAGAAAAAAAAGGGTACCCTTCTTCTAATCTCTCTACTGGAGGACCTAGTATACACACAAAAAGAAACGGTACCCTGATTCTAACCCTGATTCTAACGGTACAAAAAGGGTACCCTGATTGCATGCATGGTTGCGTCTTCGTTGCCAAGTTAATAGAAGTGGCCAATCGCCACGCGTCTTCAGGATTCAGACTATGGCATTTGGATTGCCAGTGGATGACATCTTGCGTCTTAGCCTTGCAAGCGATGGCGCTATTTGGATGTTGGGCCCAGTTAGCCACTTGGGTTAGCCACTTGGGTTAAAACCCGCAAACAAGTTGACACCGCACTGAACGTGGGAGATAACCTAGGTTACCAACAACCTACTAACCTGGCCGAACAGCCAACTAGGGAACCTATCCACTCAGCCGTCTCCTTTGGGTGGGAATCCGGTGTTCACTCGCAAGCTGACTTTTTGCAGTTCCCGAAGGGGCTTTGGGGGCTTGGCATGCAGCACCAAGCACGAATAAATATGGTTGGGGTTTTGTCTCAGGACAAGTGAGCACAAGTGATGCTAGAGCCCCGAAATCCATGAGAACACTTGGAGTTATGTTGATCCTGTGGCCTCACTCGGTCGCAGTCCCACATCTTTTCATATACTTTGAGGCAAACCATGCGTGCCGAAAGCGCCCCCCCAAATCATCACCCAGCGGGTGTTTGGACTTGGGGGCCATTTTCGTGATAGACGTAATTTTAATCCTAGGCCAGTTTCTTCAGGGTCCATCTACCGCTGAGAACCTTTTGGATTTCACCCGGTGAGAAAATATCCACCCGCGCACGCCTCGGTTTCCACGCGAAAATTTGCGAGGCGCTGCAGACGAAGACGGGGGAGGCGGAGCTGAAGTCGCTGCAGGCGCTCTACGGCGCTTTGGGCCGCGCGGAGAAGGACTTCGACGAGGCGAGGAGATTTTATTCGCATCACACACCGATCAAAAAAAAGCACATCAAAATCAGTCAAACATCTAAGATGGTTTCCAGTACCCCCAAACCACTTGTTCCAGGGTAAAATGGTATATACCCTTTATATAGTGGCTATACAGTGGCTGTATATCCCATTAGATTTTGGGGGTAGCTTCGGTTTGGGATACTGGAAACCGTAGATGTTGGGGGCCACTAGCACCGGCAGACTTCTCAGGGCTGAGTCCTTGTTCATGCTTTTCAACCATCGTTCTTTTCAAGCAAACGCGGTTTTCCCTGGGTTTCCGGAGGTTTTCTAGAAAGAAGGATCCCTGGAAAGAGTGGGGAAGGTACCCCTGGAAGTTAGCTTCGTGCGCCTTCGCCCAATTCGTCGCGAGCAAAGAAATAAAAGGCGCGGTTTGGTCGTGTTCTGTTCAAAGGGTTTAGGCCCCATTTCAGTTGAAATGATTATTTTGAAATTACGTTTTGATTTTTCTCTTGTTTGGTGTTGAAAGGGAATCGATAGTTCCTCATTTTGTTTCAAGGGGGCGGAAAAGCAAACGGAAGCAAACGTGGCCCAAAAACTTTGCTCGGACTTGAGCCATGACCCGCAAGAAAGGGAACAACCATAATTCTGGGTCTTTGTTGTCGAGTGGCACAAATTATTTTCCCTTTTTTTGGTGGCTGCCCCACTAAAAATGGTCTTCCCAAAAAAGGGTTCCCTTTTTTTCCAGGGTCACTGAGCAACTGAGTTCTGGGTTGCAACCTAGTTTCAAATGAGCAAGGTGTATCTTTTCAGGAGCCCTGTTACTGGCTCGCTCTTTAATCCGGTTGGTGACGGTCCTGTCCAAGAGGTGCCTTGGTGCCTTCGGGGGATGCCCCGTCTCTTTGGGGGTTCCGGGCGACCATGGGACGTTTGTTTGAAGTACATCTTCAACAAACTTGTTTTGGATTTCCTTTTAAGCGGACCACAATTTACAAGGCAATGTTCAGGCGCATAATGGAAGGATACCTGATCAACACACAGTCGATTCGAATTCGTTCTAAGCACCGCGAGGCAGCGGAGGTGGAGTTTCAAGAGCTCAAAAGGAAGCTCCAAGAGGAGCAGCAGGCGAGACGGGGACGGCGAGCAGGGGCGAGCAGGGGCGCTTTTTGGGAGCGTTGGTGTGATGTTTGTTTCAGTTCCCAGCCATCACTTAGGTTTGGAGGGGTATTTATTTTAGGTGTTTTTTTTTTTTTTCCGCTTTTGGCTTCTTGGCTTCTTCGCTTCTTGGCTTCTTGGTTTTGGGGGTGTGGCCCAAAAAAAAAAAACTTTTTTGCCGATCTGAGGACAGCCTGGCGTTTTGGAACCTCAGGTTGCACTAAAAGAAACGGACTCCACTTTTGATTTGGACATCCAGTCATGGTTGCTTTGGGGAAACCTGCTACATTTTGGCTGGTAGTTGTTTAGTTTCTGAAATCCCCACTTAACTGCTAAAATTTGAAGATTGTTGCTCCCCTTCCAAGGTCAACCAAGCAGTGACCCCTGTTTCTAGGTGAGTTTGGTTGGAATGACATGGGCTGCACTGGTTTAGACTGGTTGATGCTCCCCATTTGCCAGGGCCAGACATTGTTTGTCTGAAAGGTCACCTATGGTTCCAACAAGGTGTGGGCCCACTCCCCCTCTCCTCCTCCCCCACCAAAAAACCCGAAGATACACGCCTAAGGAGAGGATCCCCTTACGTTTTTTTAACACAGGGACCGAACATACAAATTGCATTTTCAATCCCCCCCCCATTCCGTTACAACTTGGACGAACACGCAAGTAGGGCCTTGAACTTGTTTGGTTCACTGGGAAAGGTGATGCCCAGGAAGCCTGACTGGAATCCCCGGAAGAACATGTTGCTCAAGCGACCCTTTGTTGATGGATGGGATGCAACTCACGGTCACTGTGTGGCAAGACCGTTTCTTTTCTTTGGTGCATTTTGCTTGGATGTTAGGACTTTAGAATTTTGCCAACCAATGGGTTTTCCGTATTAAACCACAAGTTCAAAGCTTTTAGCAGGGGAGCAGAAAGCAACCAAATTTTAGTGGCAGGCTCAAAGTTTGGGCACTTTTGTTGGCCGACTCGCTGGGAAGCGCCATGCTTCAACTCAGCCGGGACTTATTTCAGCGGCCACCACGGACGGAACGAGGTCAGCAACAACTGGGTCCCCCAGTGCGCGTTTACGCTTTTTTGGGGGGAGGGTTCCCCTACTAATATCGACTAGAGAAAAAGGGTACCTTTATTCTAACCTCTCTACCGGAGGACCTCGACAACCATTGATGGTTTCCGGGCCCCGCAAAGCCAACAGTTCAGGCTTGCAAGACACACCAAGGTTGGGATCTGAGCGATCTTCACTAAATCGGCATTTGTGTCAAACTGGAGCCAGAATAGCCGCGGAAAATCGGCGAAATCCTCGTGTGCTCCCTTTTAGCCACCCCCAAAGGGCACCCTCAAAAACACACTCCCAACAAATGAAGCATAGTTAATTGTGGGCAAAGGCTGAGGAAGAAAAGGAGAACGTGTTTGTCAGAGCTTTCTCAATATTTCTTTTTGTGTTGTGAATCTGCATGGTTTTGGATGTATCTTTTGGGAACGCCGCGGATTCTTTGATTGCTGCTGTTGCCAGCTCCGTTTGGGATTGGCAGCCCAACTGGGTCTTTGGGGCATTGCCCCAAAGACTCCTTCAATGGCTATGGTGCCTTATTTGGCTTTTGGCCTTAAAACGGCTCAATACATAAGCTCTGAGCCTGAATACGGCTCGGCACATCCTGAACTGTTGTGGGGAGGGTTCTTGAGGACGGACCCTGCCAGGCAGCATGCAAAAGCAATACATGAGCACTGGTTGCGGGAGCCTGGGAGTGGCAATGCTTGGAGACCCTGGTTGCTGCCCGACTCTCTTCAGCATTTCCGGCAAACCGCTGTTCCCCTTTTTTGTTGGTGGCTGCCAACCACTAAAAATGGTCCAAGCCCCAAAAAAGGGTTCCCTTTTTTTCCCAGGGTCACTGAGCAATAGCTCCGCGCGTCCCAGGTCTTTAGGTCCATGGTGTTTCATGGAAGACGTGTTTGCATAGGAGCTCAGGACACCGGCCGGACTTGGATTTGTGTGTTCTGGAGCGCGTTTTTTTTTTTTTTTTTGTGTTCCTTTTTTTTCTCTGGAGCGCGTTTTTTTTCTCTTCTTTTTCTGGAGCGATTCGGATCTCGTTGGCTTGAAGCTCGCCATGTGGGTGCTGTGTTGTTTCCCTTTGGCTTCAAATCTATGGGCGCTCGAGGGGCGAAGAACTTATCCATTCTCAGGGGCACTATTACACATCATATGCGGGTCTGGCAGTTTTAGGGCCCCCCCTCCTAAAATACTGGTTTGCTGTTGGTTTCCCTTTTAAACCAACCTAACAGGCTGTCCCCCAAAAAACGACAGAGTCATTGCAGCCTGGTGAGTTTGGGGGCCTACAGTCACATGGCTTTTTGCCACTCTGAATCAGTATCTCACTTCCTGAGTTCAGGTTCCCACTTTAGTCATTTGTTGGGTGCTTGGACAAGTTTAGTGGTAAACAACAAGTTTCGTAGTTTTTGCCAGTTCACTCAGGATATGTTGGGTTGTTTGGTTATATCTTTTTTTTTTTATTAGTGGTACACAACAAATTTTGGTTGTTTCTTTGCCAATGCGTTCAATCCACTCCGGAAGTGCGCCCTGGAAAGGACCCCCCTGCGACTCCCCCGGTCTTCAAACAATGCAATGAGCCGCCAGGCAGCGGTGGCAGCGGTGCGGGGGCCTGGTTCGGCGGGGTCTGTGGTGGCGCCTGGGATGCGCTGGGAGGTTTCCGGCTTTGTCCCCTGCGGGAAGAGAATACTTACCTCTGAAAAAACACAAAACTTGTCTCAACTTGTTGGGGGTAACCTGGGCGACATGTCTGTAAAAGATGAGAACTTCCCCAATCCTTGGAGTTTTTTAAGGCGTAAGAATAGGGACTCGTCAGGAGTGGGAAGCCACGAAAGGAAGGTACGGGCCCCGGGTTCTGCAAGCCCCAAGACCCTTCGGCAAGAAACCATCCGAAGCTTTTTGTATACCCAGCCACAATTGACAGACCCGGTCCAACATCTCGTTTGTATGGCAACCAAAAAGCAGTGATCGGGATCCGGCTGGACTAGAATGGTCCAAGCCCAGCAAGTACGTCCAGAAAGTCCGGAAGGTGCTTCACCCCTGACAGAGGGAACCACACATGTTTTCCTGGTTGAACCGAAGATTCTCCTTGCAGACCCTACAAAGGATAGGACCTAGGTGTGTACCTTTTTTGAGGGTACCCCACAAATGGGGCTGTGTTGAAGGGACTAAATGGAAACCTGGCTTTCTGGGGATTTGAGGCAAACCATCAGCTTAATTTGCAAGGAAGCCCATACCAATCAAGTGCGTCAGTTGCCTAGAGGTTACCACACCCCAAGTTCACTCTTGAAGCCCCAAAATCCATCAGGACGCTTAGGTTGTGCTAATCCACATCGGAAGTGAGACTTGGCGTCTTGATTTCCTGGCAACTGAATAATTGGGTTCTGTTTTTTTTGGGGGACCTTTACTTTCTGGCTTTGAAGGGAAACTAACACCATGGCTTTGAGGTGAACCAAACCAGATCCCGAGGCATCCAGGATCCCATCACTGAGTTGCCGGTTGCATTTCGGTTGTTTTTGCAAGGGTTGCCTTTCGTAACACCTGTTGCTTTGGGGCATCAAAAGCTACCCAAAGCAGCAGGGCCTATACCTAGAGATTCGTTGCGGCAGAAATTTCTGCCGCAAATCAAAAAAGGCGCCTTTTTGGATTTGCGGCATTTCTTCCTGATTTGCGGCGTTTTTTAAGAATTGCGGCAGAACTTGTTTTCAGTTTTTTCTACCCCCCGATTTGCGGCGGAAATCGGCGGGAATGCGGCGGAAATCGGCGGGAATGCGGCTGAAATTCCCGGAAGGCAAACGGTGTTGCGGCGTTTTTGTTTTGGTTGCGGCGTTTTGTTTGGTTTGCGGCTGATTTTCTGGAATGCGGCGGGAATTTCCGCCGCAATGCGTTGCGGCAGAAATTTCCGCCGCAGGAAGTTCTAGGTATGGGTAAGGACCGGGTTGCCTGCTAGACTGCAAGCAGTCTACCGTTCTGCTCATGCTTGAGTTTTTATATATATATATATATCTATATATTTGCAATGAGTCTGCACTTCGAGGTTTCAGAACAAAACATGGCCAGCGGGTTTCTTAGGTCTAGGCTGAGTATCATCTTCTATTTGGTTCGTGACAATCACCAGAGCCCCTTAGACCTTTTGGACACAAATGGCTTTTCCAGCAAAAGGTCTAGCGGCCTTTTGCTAAGGGGTTGGAGCAACCCAGATTGGGCAACCAGGGGAACGCACTGTTTAAGCCTTCGTGGCTTGCCTTGCAACTGTGTAGTTGCGGCAAGCTCTGGCCATCTCCTTGGCTAGCCCTCGTGAAGGGCGGGAGTCAACCACTTTGATGTCACTACCGATTGAACTGTTTGCTTCGTTACGTGTGTTTGTCCTGTTCTTGTGTTTGCTGTGTTTGTTTGAACTATGCTTGTTTGTTTGTTTGTTTGCTTGCTTGCTTGCTTGCTTGTTTGTTTGTTCAAGCAACACCACGCCGCTGGCAGTCGAATTGTAAGCATGAGGTATGTACAAGTTCCCTTGCGAATGCGATGTGAGGATCACACGGTTTCTCGGCGCAACTTGCTGGTTCTCAGCCCAAATAACCATCCATCCTGTGGTTTCCTTTATTCGGGAACGCCCAAACTCGGTCACTCCCGGCCTCGGGTATTCCCTAGCTATCGCGCCAGCAAGTGATTTCCCTTGGCGAAAAGTTGGGTCCGTCTAAGTCCGGCCCGGTTCAAAGCAACAGAAGATGGGAATCTAGCATTTAGAAAATTCGATACGCGTACTTTGGGAACACCCTTCATGGCAAAACCCAGTGTAGAAAAACCCAAACAAAAACAAACACAAAAACAACGGAGGATCACCTGCTACTCACTCACTGAGTTGCCGGACTGGACTTGAGGCACTATTGTTGGGCTTGGACCATTTTAGTGACTCATTGAACAATCATGGGCCAAACATATTGACTAAAAGTTTAGTCACTAATCATGGGCCAACAATATTGTCCAAAATCATGGTTACTACTCACTCTCTGAGTTGCTGGACTGAGTTGCTGGACTATTTTAGTGGGAACTGAACAGTCATGGTAACTTTTTGGGCCAATCCACTGCATCAGTGAGACCACAGGGCTGCTCGCCGGCGCTGGAGACTGCTCTCCAACCTCGGACTTTGCAGCATTTGGATCCAGGGTAAAACCCGTTGAGTCGGAAGAAGAACAAAAATCGAGCCTTCAGCTGGGTGTGGCTCAAAATGAAAGACCTAGGCTTGCGGAGGTTTTAGTATCCATTTAGCAAGTTGCCATTGTTGTACATGTTTTTGACCCACAGCCAAATCGAGTGGGAGAATTGATGTAAATGCAACAGAACGTGAAATGTATGGAAATGTAGCAATATTTTTATATTTATAACAACACAACATGTCGACAATTGGATATGCAACATGACAGGTTAGTGTAGCAATTGTCGGAGATGTCGCATGTTGCTTGGGCCCGCTAGACCCCATGGACATTGTGGGAGGATAAATCCATCTGCCAGCCGTTTGATGGAGCTGGCAACCGAGACCGGCCATTTGGTCAACATGTTGTCCGAAGTCTTCCAGCATCCTGAGAGTTTCTGCATTCCCCCAAATCGTAGATGACCCCTGGGTTCGAGGGCAGATCATCCAGCACCTAAACAACACTGAGTCCACTACAATACCCCAAGGGGCAAAGCAAGCTTCACTGGCTTTTCCCACACAAGATCCACTCGACCTCAACAAATTCTAAGTCTTAGAGCAACCCTCGTCCAAACACCGCTGGTCTTATCCAAACACCCCAAGGGTCGGATTTTGGTTTCAGCTCCAAACTCACAGCTTGGGTGTGGTACGGCTTCGGACCGGGGAACCCCCGAGTTCTGCGTACCAAACCCAACACTCCCCAATTCGTTTAGGTCCAAAATCCCGCCACGGCAACCAAAAAACCAGACCAAAAAACCAGACCAAGCTTCGGGCATCTCCAAAATCTTCCTCACATCGAAGTGAACCGCTTCGATGTCATGTCCTCCGGCAGCTCGCCTCCTCGGCGCCCGGCGCCGGCGCCGAAGACCTTGCGGAAGAGCCACACGGACCGGCGGGGCCGACTTGGACTTCGACTTCGAACGGGGCCGCCCACACAACAACTCGCAAGCACCCGGAAATAAGTTGGTGTGCCAGTCAAAAATAGGTGTGTTGCGCTTGTTTGAATCGAAAGTGGTCCTTTCGAAAGTGGTCCTTTTTGGACCAACATGTTGTTTGTTTGTGGGCGGGTGCCCTTATTGGATGCTTGTTTTATTGATTGCAACGAGGCTTTGACCTGGAATGCCCCAATGTCCGATTTCCGCGCCGACCAATTGACTTCTTGAGTGACCTTCCTGCAGGCTCACTTATTGAGAGGCCTGGATCGGTCAGTTTCCCCAACCATACCAAGCCCGCTGTTAGCACCTGCCAATCCATGACACGCTACCTAAAAACCGTTGCCAAACCCATGAAACACGACCAAAAAACCCACCGCCAAACCGATAAAACAATCAAAACTTACCAAACCAATGAAACACGACCAACAACATTATCCTGCCAAATTATCCATGTGCAGGATTTGAGCACCTCGAGCGGCGGCACTGCCCTCAATGCTCCGTCCCGCGGCCACACCGATGCCTGACGCTTAGATGGTCGATCGATACGGGCGGCGAGTTGACAGATTGATCTGACCTTGTTGTGTCCCTCACTTGGACAATGGTCAAAATTAAACCACCAGGATATGGACCATTTGCTCCATTTTAGGTACCCAAACTTTGGGTTTTTGGGTTCCCATTTTTCGTCACCCCAAAAGGTGATCGCCTTTGATTTCTGGGTCCCCAAAAGGCGCGTGAGAAAGGGCAGCAAAAGTAAGCATGGTTCTAGCCCAGTGGGTTGTAAACATGGCTACCAACTACTTACCAAGTACCCTTCCACTTTCCTGCACCCGGGTTGCCTGTTATAGGCATGATCTTTGGTGTGACAGATGGCCCCGGAGACAAAAAGGTCAGACTGGACCTTTTGCTCACTTTCTACATCAAAACCCACAAAACAAGGCGGATTTGTCTCGAAAACCCGGTTTCTTGGCCATATATATATATATATAGCCTTAAAACCAGAACCTCCATTTTTTCCGTGGGTTTGGATGTACAAGGCAGGCAGAGCAACCCAGATCAGGTCTTTCATGCAGATTTCTGGGGGCTTCGGGCGGGGGCCGCTCTGAGTCCCAAGTGTGGTCGCGGCGCAGTACGGTGGAGGGGGTGTTGACGGTGAATGACATGCAGACCAGCACCCGCTTAGAGCAGAAGGCGGTTCCCGCGCGGGGACATGGCTCATGTCTTTGGACCATTGGACATGGCGAGCCAAGGGTACACACCCGTTTAGACTTTGTTGCATGTAGCTTGGATGTTGGGACTTTAACTTTTTGCCAACTCGTGGGTTTTCCATTAAACGGGTAGAAGTTAAACTTTTAGCAGGGGAGCAGAAAGCAACCGAGTAGATGTTGGTGGGTCGAGATCACCCTGTAGGCCCTGTCGAGTTGGCGATCCACAACTTCTGGTTGGCAGAGGTTTTCTTTGATTTTTTGGGAGGGGGCTGAGAAACTCCGGTCAGCTGCAGGAAAAAACTTATCCGACTCCCATCTTGCCTGCTGGATGTCCCTTTCGGGGCAGGGGTGATGTTTCAACGGGAAAGACAGGGAACCATGTCAGTAATGGTCCCAGTCAGATCAGGGCGGTTGGAACCTAGTGACTCTGGGGGCCAAGGATGGGCAACTGGACCTCGCTCCCCTTAGCGTACTTTGAAACTCTTGGTCTTTCTTGAGAGAACTGAGGAAATAATTTTAGCCTCACTACTCTGGACCTGACTTCCTGAGTTCATGAACTTTAAACTTTTGAGACGACCATTTTAGTGGCAAATCTAAAGTTTGGTTACTTTCTTGGGGCCATCCACTCAGCCGGTGAGGGACGCCTTTTGGGTCCAGGGTCCATTTTAGTGGCAAATAAGCGGTTTGGTTGCTTTTTTTTGGCCCATCCGCTCGCTCGGAAGTGAGCAGTTTGGGGTTCCCAATCTCTGCAAAAACGCCAACCTTTGATAGCCGCCCGACCGCGGATGGACGAAGTCCGTTCCAACTTAAGAAATCCTGGTTTGTCATGATTCTCCTTTAAGTACCAACCAAGAATGGTTTCAAACATGGATCCACAGTATGCAACACGACTCCCAAAAGCGTGTTTGTCGAGACGCAGGAGGTGCTCCGGTGTCGAGAGACGTTGAGCGCCTGGGCCTGGTCGTTGATTCAACACGGCCAGCGATGGATCGTTCTAGGGTCAGGTACCGTGGGTGGCCCGTGGGTTATCAGGTTTACAACCCATCTACGTACCCTGGTCCTTCAAGTTTGCTTCGCTCGATCCTGTTTGGAGGGTTCCTGCCTTGATTGCGCCGCCGCAAGAGTTGCCCAGCGGCATTGGTGTTGGCTGGCACTTGTCGATAGCTTCAGGTTGGGGCCGAAGGAGCAAAGAATGGATGGACCGAGCTTCAATTCATCCGGTATTCTAGGCTGGACAGAAGTGGGGGAACAAAGACTCGCGGAAAATCCAGGGAAAGTGCCTGGATTTCCAGCGCTTTGGAGCAAGCAGTTGCTGGAGTCAGCATTTCACATGAAACCCCAGGCCCGCCAATATTATGTTGACCCCTTTGTGTCAACCTCATGGACCTTTTGAAGGGCGTTCCCTTCAAAGCTGAAGGGGATTCCCTTTAAGATTGGACATCCTCAAGCAAGACACAATTTGCTTGCTTGCTTGCTTGCTTGCTTGCTTGCTTGCTTGCTTGCTTGCTTGCTTGCTTGCTTGCTTGTTTGTTTGTTTGTTTGTTTGTTTGTTTGTTTGTTTGTTTGTTTGTTTGTGTTTGCTTGTTTGTTTGTTTGCTTGTTTGTTTGCTTGTTTGCTTGTTTGTTTGTTTGTTTGTTTGTGTTTTTTGTGCAACCACTTGTCGTTGTTTTTGCACAATGTGTTTGTTCCTGGTGTTGAGTGGCTCCAAGCTAGTGTATAAATCCTGGGTTCCGGATAGAGAATGCGGCGGCAGACATTGCACCTCCGAAATTCACTCGGGATGTTGGTACGCTTTTTGTGTGATTCAGCACGTTGTACCCCAATGTCTCACTGAGGCAACATCCTGGCGATGCTTGACAGCAGCAAATGATTCGTCCGGCTCCGTTCGAAGATTTGTTTTTCTCAAAATGGCGATCCGGACCCGCGTTTAGCGTGTGGTTAACGGGAAACGAAAGGGACGCTCCACTTTGTTTGGGAGGATTTTTATGTTGCTTGGCAGTTCCTAGCCATCCCAATAGCCTTGTTTAGACTTTGATTTAACCCACCAAAAAATTAGACTTTGAGCAGGGGATCTGAAGACAGCCCAGTTTAAGAAACGCTGAAGTTTCCCGAGTCCCGACGTCCATTCACCTGCGGTCGAAATCGTTCCTTGAACCCAAACAGAACAACACAACAAAGGGAAAGGGCCTGACCAATTACTCAGGCTCTCAAGGCCACAGGCAACATGTCACCAAATAAGGCAAGTGGTTGTTGGTTTTTGTTTTATTTGGAGTGCTTTAAAGACACATATATAATGCCAAAACCATAAAAGGCTCAAAACCGGTGGGTCCTTGCCAGCTTTCGGCGGTTTTTCTGGAGGTTGCCCAGGGTTCCTCGAGATTCCGGGCCATTGCCCTTTCAAGGGAACCAAAAGTGGCGATGGGTTCGATGAGACTGGAAACCCGCCAGGAAAGTGATCGACTTTTGAGGCACATCCAGTAACCCCTGTTCCTTCTCTCAAGACATGCTCACGTGTTTTCTGGCAGCATGTCTAAGACTCAGGTTGGCGCTCCTCGAATGTGGTATACCTGTACTTTGCGGGTACCAAGTGTTCTTGTTGGCCCAGAGGTCTGTTAAGAGCCGACTTCAGGCGACAACTCCCGGTTTCAACCTACAATGGGAACCTGGTTAATAAAACCATTGGGGGTGTCCCCTTTTTAGTGGGATTCATCACTTTTGGAGGGAACACCCCAGTACTTCCGGGGTCAACATTACCTAAACCCTGTATCCCCCCGCCTGGTGCATTTGAAAGTCCTCACTCCCCGAGTTCCTGGCTTTAGGAAGCCCAATTCATGTAGAGGTAAACAAGACAATTCCACTGCTGCACCATAGTAGGCAACCAGGCTACTGAACCGGGGACTCAAACGTGGGCCAGCTTACTGGCAACTTTCTCATTTGGCCGAACACCCAAGCAACGGCCGACGCCCTTTCCGTGTGATGAGTTTTTGCCAGACGCTTCCATTTTGTGACTCCAAGAAAATAATGAACCCACTGGTTCCCTTTTGGGGCTTTTGGCAAGCAGAGCTTCTTGTTCTTTACACCTCTTTACTATCCTTCCTATGTTCATCGCTGACCTTTTGGCTCTTAACCCTTATTGGGTTGCCTTTACTTGTCTGGGCTCATATCCGACTGGCCAGCGAGTGTGTTTGGCTCTTGCTTGTGTTTTGAAGGATGAGGCCCGGAGGGCGCCATTCGGCTGGCAAAAGAACAAGACACGGCGCCACGCTTCTTCGCCCGCGCGCTCAGGGGCAAGAACCAAGTCGCCTTGGACCAGGAGTTCCACAGATGCGCCGGGATCCCGGGGCCAAACCGTTGGGCAGGGAGAGGAACGAGGCACACAGGTTTTTGTCAAACAAATGTTCGGTCTCCGGGTCTTCTCACTGACCTCTTGAGTGGCCAACACACGTCAAACTTGCTGGACCGTCACTCAACAGAAGTGCCAACTAAAAGTTGTTGCTTGCCAGCTCAACAAGTGATCCTTTCCGCCTTTCAGCTTGATGCCGAGGGATTCCATGCAGCTGTCCCTCTGGAAATCTTGTCCTTAGGGAGGAGCTATTGATGTGGAGAGAAGGAGCCTGCAGGGTCATCAGAGGGCGTTCCACTCCATACTCCAAGGACGCCTGCCACAAGAATGCTTATTGACCTACATGGCCACGGGGCATAACCTAGGGCTCCATTTTCGAGTGGATGAACGTCCATTTGCCACCTATTTTGATGTTCACCAGGGGTACAGGGTTTTGACCCACAGCCACATCCCTTCGGGTGTCTTTGGCAGTGAATGTGGGGTTTGTGGCCAAATATGACCGAATGTGTCGTTAAGCCAACTATGGCCAAACCAAAGGACGGGGGGTTCGCCAAACAAGACCAAACAAGGCTAAGTAATGCCTTACCGGTTCCTTGTTTAGGCTAGGTCACAACTCACTTGATGACGCCAAAAAGGCTAGCCTTTTATTTCTGCGTCCTTTAGGCAACTGGGTGAATATTAACCCCTGATGACCCTCACAAGAGTATATAACGGGGGGTCTGATTTCTGGGTCCAAACTGAGCCACAATCAAAAGCCCGGGTAGATAAAGGTGAAGGATATTCCCAAAAATAAAAGGGTCGGATGGTCGACCATGTTCATACCAGGCTTTGATTCTGACTCGATTCGGGGGGGTCCTGATTTCGATCATTTTCCACAGAGCTTCTGATTGGTTCTTCTGGTGGGTTCCCAGTTGGTTTTCCTTGTGGGTTCCCTTCAAGTCGTGCCATGTGGGGTGTGAAGCCTGCGTACGTCCTTGTGAACAGTCAACCCCTCACTAGACTGTTTTGATTCCCCACGAAACCTAGGGACACCCTCAAATGAATTCATAGGGGGTTGATTGTTTGAAACAAGGGGTCCGCATTACACCACTAGGTCTCCCAGTAGTGGGAGGGTTCCCCTACTAAAATAAACTACAGAAAAAAGTTGGTGCCCTTATTCTAACCTCTCGACTGGAGGACCTACTAGGGGTTGATTCCCACATTCGACCATCTTAGTAGCCCATGGGTCTTGGCTCAGGTGATGTTCAAGAACCGCCTGGTGATCCGGTGCCAAGTGCTGCACTTTGCGGTCATGGAGGCGGCGAGGCTCCAGAATGGCCCGGGGACCCAACGCCAGCCAAAGCCAGCCACCGTAAACCAAACCCCCCCTCACCCCTGGAACTGGGTGCGCCGGCCGGTTTTGGGGGCCCATAATGGATTTCAGTTGTCCAGTTGGGTGTCAGTCTCTGAAACAGAGGTTGTGGCTCGAAAACCCCTGAAAAAGCAGGTAAACCTCCAGAATGTTCACCGGAAATCGCCCCGAACCAGCGCCCGAACCAGCCTATCTCGGCCTATCGACCTAGCTTTCAGCTGTTGGGGGAAAAAATCGGCCTCAGGGCTGAGCCCAGAGTGTCTCTCCCTGAGTTCCGTCTGCTTTTCGCTTCCCTGGCTTCCTCCTGGCCAAACCTGTGCAGATCTAGGTCGTCTTTCTGTGCCCTTTCTCACCCCTTTTTCGGGGGACTCCCCAACCAAAACGGACTACAGAGAAAAGAAAAACATGGGTACTACCCTGATTCTCGCTTGTTTGGAGGAGGGTTCTCTTACTAAAACAGACTAAAAAGAAAAAAGAAGCGGTACCAACTGATTCTAACCTCTCAAATCTGGAGGACCTAGAGATGAAAAAGGAACGAAGGCTTCCCTGGCCTCCACTCACTCCCTGACTCCCTGGGTTTCCGAGGCATTTTCCCTTTCTGAAGGGAAACCCTTCCAGTCAATTGAAACCTTTGAAGGGAACTTCAGCGACCCCTGTGTTCTTTGCCCTGAGTTCTACATCCATGGCAAAGCTTAGAGAGCAACATGAATTGGTCTCCTTTTTGTTCTCCGTCCGCCATTTTGAGAAGCCCATTGGCCATGTTTCAGGAGCTTTTTCCGAACGGTTCGGCGCAGTTCAACGGTTTTGTTGAGCACCCCTTTCTCTGGCGAGGTTGACCTTTGGTGTTGCTGGCTCACCTGATTTCATGGGGCTTGTAGGAAGGCCGGTATCAACCTTTATAAGCTCGTTGGTAGAGGCCAATAGTGTTAATTGGTGTTGGGCGCTTCTCAAATGGATATATGTTGTATTTTATTTTTTTTCCCCAGCCCGGACCCCAGCATGTTCAGCTCTGTTTTTTTCTTCCCCCAGCCCGGGGCCTAAGCTCGGTGGTTTGGAGCCAAGCCGGCGCTTTGGAGGTGTGGTTCCCTTTTGTCCCTGGAAGAGCCAGGGCTACCGCACTCCAAATCCACCAAGCAGGTTATGCGATAGAAGCTGGCAACCTCAAACCCAAATCCAACCAAGGGGGTCCTGGGATGCCTTCGTTTCCATGGCTGGAAATCCCGCAATCTTCCAGGGGAAGCATCCCATTCCACCTGAGCCACAATCAAAACCGGGGTAGATGAAGGTTAGTAAGGGGCAGTCCCAGCCGGAAATAGTTGCGGATATCCGCCTTCATTATTCCTTACATGGTTCTGGGTTCACCATTTTTGTACCGATCGGTTTTGATGATGACTCACCTATGGGTCAAAAATATTTAATGCCACCAGGAATTGGCAGGTTTTAGTCCTTGGTTCCATTTAGGCTTACCTCTTAACAACACAACTTTTCAACTTGTTGGGTAACATGGGCTACATGTCTGTAAAAGATTAACTTCCCCAGGGCGCAGGGAGTTTTAAGGGGTAAGTAGGGTTTCAGCTTGGGGCCCAATTTTTCGCCCGCCTGAGGCTTTTGCGTGTCGGAGGTCCTTGAGGCGAAGGCGGACGTGAACGCCAAGGCCATGTACGTCACTGTGAAGCCCCTCGGTGTGGCCAAGTGGCGGGCTGCACGGGCTCCGATCCATGGGATTTTTTCGTTTGGCTCCAAAATCCGGGATCCGGTGTCTTGTTGTTTTTTCCCCTAGGGCCGTGTGTTTTTTGTTTTTTTATCACTAGGGTGCTTGGTTGGTTGGTTGGTTGGTTGGTGGGTTGGTTGGTGGGTTGGTTATTGGCTGGGATTTTTTTGTTTGGCTCCAAAATCCGGGATCCGGTGTCTGGTCTTTGCTTTTTTCCCCTAGGGCCGTGTGTTTTTTGTTTTTTTATCACTAGGGTGCTTGGTTGGTTGGTTGGTTGGTTGGTTGGTGGGTTGGTTGGTGGGTTGGTTATTGGCTGGGATTTTTTTGTTTGGCTCCAAAATCCGGGATCCGGTGTCTGGTCTTTGCTTTTTTCCCCTAGGGCCGTGTGTTTTTTGTTTTTTTATCACTAGGGTGCTTGGTTGGTTGGTTGGTTGGTTGGTGGGTTGGTTGGTGGGTTGGTTATTGGCTGGGATTTTTTTGTTTGGCTCCAAAATCCGGGATCCGGTGTCTGGTCTTTGCTTTTTTCCCCTAGGGCCGTGTGTTTTTTGTTTTTTTATCACTAGGGTGCTTGGTTGCTTGGTTGGTTGGTGGGTTGGTGAGTTGGTTGGTTGGTGGGTTGGTTCTTGGCTGGCGTTCAGCACTTCAGGCTGTGCGGCTTTGGACCTGAAGCCCGAAGACTTCCTGACCGGTTTTCCCGGAGACCGGACTTGATGGGACCCGGGTTTTGGGATTTGCAACAACTTCCAAGACGGGTGGCGAGCGGAAAACGGGTTGCGCCATGGACCTTTCGGTGTGCGGATGGCCACATCCCAACTGACGCCATGGGCCTTCTGTGTGGGCCGCATCCCGGAAAAAAATGGTGGACACGCTGGCATCCCGTTTTTTGACGTCCACGAGTCGGGTCCTATTGATTCACGCACAGCTTGGCCGTTCGTCAAGGTGCTTCGAGGTGATCCCTCTGTATTTCCACGCCCCAGGCTAAGCGAGCAACAGATAACCACTGGTGGCTTGTGGCTGTCCCACCCCATTGCCAGACTCAGTTTTGCAACTTATCCTTTTGGTTTTCCATTATGTTCCCTCACTTCCTGAGTCTCTGGACTTGAAGATTTTTCTCGCTACCGCTGTTTCTGGACTTGAGCCACTATTTGGGTTTTGACTTTCTTTCAGCGGCAAGCAAAAGGTTTGGACCTTCTTGGGCCTTTTTGCCACTCAGGAAGTGAGCTTCTGGACTTTAAACTGACTGTTTCATGAACATTCTAGCGAGACCGTTTGAGTGGCAACGCAAATATGAACATGGTTTGGCCACGCAGGAAGTGAATATAACATGTCGTTTCTGCCGGGATGGAACTAACACACGTGTGGGGGGGGCAGGTCCCGACAAGGAGATATCGTTACAATTAGTTGTGGGTCTTTGGCTTTAGATTTATTTTAGGTGACTTACAACCATGGTAAGTGCATTACCAACTACTGACCTCGCCTGATGAACTGAAGCCGCTGGCAAAGACAGTTTCTGGACCCGCTAACCAGGGCCGAAGATTCAAGCCGTGTGCTGTCCCAGGATTCGTAGATGCTGGCTTATACAGGGCTGAGGAGGGAGGGTGCAACCCCAAGAAGAGGTTCTTCACTAAAGGAAGTATGTTTCATCGCAAGTAATTCGCCAGGCAAGTTCATCAAGGATCAACATGTGGTCTCCTACACTATTTAGTGTTATAAAGACTGAACATGACACAGAATCTGAACAAATCAACTTACTTGTTTTAGAGTCCCCGGTTTTTGTGGGCCAACATGAGGGACGACTCAAACACTTTGGCAGTGCGTGCGCTCAGGGATGATGCCCCTCGCCAGCATTTACAGCTCCGATCGGCTGATCGACAGCCCACGCGAAAACGATCGCCGCGGGGTTCATCATTCTCCTGTTGTCACGTCGCGTGTAAATACCAACAAGCAATCCCGAAGATTGGAAAATGAGTGGGATGTGTTCTTCTTTCTTGGGGTCATTCCATTTCTCATTCCCTGCATCCCTCCCACCGTTCGCAAGTTGTTTGAGGCTCCAAGTACCTAGGATATGCCAACTGTGCCAATTTCGGGGTCAACCAGCCATCTGCATAATTTATGCCGGGCTCACCTGAAAGCAGAACGCTCAAGCCATGGTAAAGATCCTTTACTTCGGAAGATCATTCAGGTGTTTCGATCACATTGCAAAAAAGTCAATCCCCTTATGGGAAGTATTGGGAAGTCCAGGTACTTACCATAGGTCCTGCGAAACCCCGTGCCCCCTTTTTTGGGGGAGGGTTCCCCGACTAGAGAACAAAGAAACGGTGCCAACTTATTCTAGCTTCTCAAATCTGGAGGACCTCGTAGCGGTCTCCTGGCCTCACACACCCCCTTGCCGGTTCACGGAGCGAGCCGATTTCATCCCCTCGGACTCCGCGATGGGACCTCCGGAGGTCACCTACGAGACGGAGCTCGAGGCCATCCACTTGGCCGCGGGCCTGGGGTCCCTGGAGGCCATGCGCGCCCTGAGCAACGCGGCCTCCAACGTGCCCCGCGCCTCGGATGACGGCGGATGCGGGCGGGCGCTGGAGAAAAAGAGAAAAACAAGGAAACGACAAAGAAGCAAAAACAATATACATAAAGAACACACAACAACTTGGGAAAAAAAACTTGGATGTCTGACTTTGTGAGTTTCTGAACTTAGACCGGTTTGGGTTTGGGCCATTTGACTGGTAAAGGAGAAGCTCAGACGCTTTGTTGGGCCATCCACTCAGGGAGTGAGGGGTGGTTTCGATCCTCGGGTTCTCGCCTTGTTCGGAGATCGGAGGTGGTTCAATGTCCCCCATAAAACAGTGCTGTACACTGCAACCATTGCCCATTGCTTCCCTATATAGCTCCGTGCCTCAAAAACCCATGCCAGGAAGTGTCTTTTATACTTGGAACCACTCAAATTTCTCCCTCGCAGGGGTTGCTTCTCTTTAAGCTCACCCCAAAGGCCGGGGTGCTAAAGAAGTGGGGAGAAACCTCATTAGTTCCCTAGATAACTCACAGGAGGTTCGATGATGTTGTCTTTTGGGGCTCCAGAGATACCTTCTGAGTTGTTTGGTTCCAAAGTCCAAAGAGCTGTTGTGTTTCCCACCAAAGCGATCTTCCCGCAAACACAAGGGTTCTAGCTCAATTCCGGACCACTCAGCAATCCTCTTTGTGTTCCCCTTTGCGCCGCTGGAGGGCCTTGAGATGAGCATTCCAAGTAGCAGAGCTTCCTGGTATTCTTCTTAGACTCTTAGGGAACCTTTGGCAAGATGCAGTCTATGGGGATATGCGGCTGGACATTGGCGGAGACAAAAATTGTACAACGGGTGTATATATATATATAAAAGCATTACATAATCTGCCAAGTGGACCCCAGGTACCACCATAGCTAGCCAAATCGTTCATAGTTGTTGTTCGGGGTGATACCCCTTGTTAACCTATGTAGGAAATTGACACTTGACACACTGGACATGTTTGGCCTAGACATGCTAGTGTGAGAGAACAACTCGATCGAGCTCGTCGCACAGCAATTCAGTTTTAACCATGCGATCCCACTTGCCCGTCCAGTAGGTAACCAAGGGCGGCAGGGTCTTGGTTGCCTGCTATGCACGGAAGTGGCAGCTCCATGTTCACGGCCCCCCCCGGCCCCCACTGACCGGGTCCCAGACCAAAGCCCAAAGAAGAAATATGACAGTTTAACCTCATGTAGGGCTGATCAACCCCTTAGTCACTCAAATTGTGATGTTTCAAAAGTCCGGTGATACGGCGCCTTTGCTCTGCTTTTTTGATTGAAAGCGGTTTTACACCTGACCTGCCCTTAATGTGTGGCTTATCCTTGAGGGGTATGTTCCAAGGGTTTGGTGCACTGGTGGTACAACCTGGGGTAAGCTTTGACAATGCTTTTCTTGAAGTTGGTGACTCATGTTACCTTGCCCATAGTATGTTTTTTCTTGTTTCTAAACCCATTACTTGGTTGCTTTCTTTCAGAAGGACGGTGTTCTCTGAAACCCAAGCGAACATTGCATAGTTTTTTTTTTTCCTTCGTGCGGGCCTGAATGCTGAGAATGCGGTCGTGGGGTAGTTGTAGACCAATTTCGGCCGTGAATCTGGGAGAATCATGTTTGTAATGTTGACCCCGGATTGCATAAACCCGTCCTATTAATAGGGGCCTGTTCCTTCCAAAAGCGGCCTGAGTCCCGAAAAACAGGGGGGTGCCCCCCGTCAACCTGGGGTTCTACTTAGGGTTCCCATTGCTTAGATCGCCCTCATACGCGAGAGCCCAGGCCTCGTGTCGAGCTTCGCAACGGCGCGGCGCTCGGACTCGGGGGCGCGGCGTGGTTCTAGTTTGTTCAGGGGAAGAACATGTTGTTGTTTTTTTTTTTTTTTTTTTTTTTTTTTTTTTTTAAATAAATAAAAAATAAAATGTTGTTTTTTTCTTTTCCCTGATAAGTGCCTCCAATATATTTTTTCATCGACAGATATTGTTTATATGTAGAGCCATGGGAGGGGTGGGACCTGGAACCTGAACACACACATAATATGTAGACACATTATATACATACGTATTTACCACAAAGAAACGTTAGCAGCCCCATGTCAAGACTTAGTTGCCCAAAGCCGACCTTTGGACCTTTTGGTTTTCTCCTTTTGGTCCATTTTTAGTACTGGCCCCAAAAGGGTAACCTTTTGTTGCCAGGTCCTTTGGGCAACTGAGAAAAGAAAGGTTTGGGTGGGGCAAGCATGTTGTAGGGGAGAAAGTACGTAGCCTACTTCCCAGGAGGGCCCAGGGCTGAGCATACTTCGATGTTCGGCCAAATAAGTGGCTAGCCGCTTGGGTTGTAACCCCCCCTCCCTAATAAGAACGTGAACCTTAGTTAGGGGAGCTCAACAGTAACCTGCTGTGGATGGCCAAAAGCCCCCTAACTTAAACCAGCCCACAGCAACTCCTGCCACCCAATCAGAGCCACTAGGCGGCCGCAGGACCAAGCGATGCTGGTGAGCCCTGCGGAAAACCAGGCCTAGTAAAAAAAAGCCCACAAAATATACGTGTCGCCCACAAGGTCATGATCGTGCTGGCAGGTTTAGGGTTACTAGGGTTTAGGTTTATGCTTTTTAGGGTTTAGATTTAGGGCTGTTAAGGCTTAGGTTTAGGGTTCTTAGGGTTTAGGTTGTTTAGGCCTACGCTTTTTAGGGTTTAGGTTTTGGGTTTTGTGGGTTTTTAGTGGGGGGTATCTAGGGTTTAGATTTAGGGTTGTGTTGATGATAGCAGTATAAAACCAGGTAAAGCCGCCGCGCTCCATGAAGGGGGTATGGAGCATGAAGCTGGGGTGGGGCTCGGGGGGCTCGGAAGTCCATTTTTGCCGCGCCTGCCACACTTTTTGGAGGTCCCGGGGACCCGCCTCCCGGGCGGTCGCGGGCCATACGTTTTGGCCTTAAAAAAGGAAACACCGTTACCCACCTTCCATCATTAATCCGGGTTTCATTAATACTGTGGATGGACGAAATCCTCTTAGGCACCACTTGGCAATCGTGGGACCCAAGTGTTTGTTGGCATTTACAGGGGCATCATTATTCCAGGCTTTCTTTGGTGGTGCAGGATTTTGTCCATCCACAGTATGGGATCAACATTATGCGATCAGGAAGCTCCTGCCATTTTGGAACCCGGCTCCATATCCTATAAGATGCACCGAGAGGTTCTAGGCTTAACTCACCCCCCGCCCCGAGGCGAAACGACCTGAGGTTTTCCAATTTTGCAATTTCAACCCATTGTTGGTCGTAGCCCCAAAAGGTTACGGGTCCCAAGCTGGGCAAAGGAGAACACATTCCATCTCTTGGCCTTTCCATGAGAAGGTCTTGGGCCTCGCCCGACAAGTGCATGTCTCTACTGTTCGTGTTTCAGCGTCAAACTCTTTGGAACGCGAAAGATCGCACTTGTCGTCAGCAAAGTCAGGTTTTCCCTCTTCCGCTCTCTTGTAATTTTCGATCGTTTTGGTCCGCATTTTCGGTCATGGTCCATTTGGCAGGGGGCAAGGGAACTCACTGAAGGTCAACCGCAAACGAGGCATCGGCTGCCTATTCCCCTGTACCAGGCCTTGGAGCCCGCAGGTATTTGTTTATCGAGCTCACCGATTACCGATGGGCATAAATCCACCCACAATGAGCATTTCTTAGGGGATCTCTTATTACATAAGTTGGGATCAATATCTTACCAGACCCCTTCCAAAAGATATGCTTTCCTACCACTTTTTTGCTTGTCAAAGGCAGAAACCAGATCTTACTAGAACCAAGGTCCATGAATTTTGGTCGCTGCTCATTGTCTTTGATTTGGGAGGGCTGTGCAGCCCAGCAGCTGCGCTGAGAGGTGAACATCAAGGGCTGCGATCAGCGCTTTGACTTCTACTGCCCCATCCATGATGCCGCCTACTTGGGCCAGAAGGATGCAGTGTCCTGTCTCAAGTAATCTGTCCATTTTACGGCGAACTCCCCTCGACAGTTGGCTTTTTTTCTTCTTCTGGTGTTTGAGTTCTTGTAGAATTCGCGGAAGCACTTGCATCCCAGAATGAAGGAACTGCTGGTGGATCTATATGGGGTGTCATCCAGGAGGCTTAATACTCTAGCCCGAACTAGCGTTTGTAACCCACTAATTATACGCGGGACCCCTTTCATAATGTATGCCCAGTGGGAAGGGGGGAATGTATTTAATACATTTTCCACGTTTGCCGCCCCAAGAGTCTTAAGCGCTTTGCCAAGGCTGAGAACCTAAGAAAGCGATATACAGTCACAGCCTTTTGGAAGGTAGGCACAATTGTAGGTAGACAGAAGCAAATGGTTGCAAATGGACCTGGAAAGGTCCGCGAGTTTGCGGCTCAGTGTTGGAATGCTTTCAAATTAGGTGTTGCGCGATTCTAGAGGCCCATGTGCCAGCAATCCGCATCACGCATTCCGGCAGCAGCCCGAGAACGGGCTTTGCCAAAAACATGTCCTAGAACTCGTACGGAGTGTTGAAGTGGGCATGTAGTACGGCATGTAGCTGAGCAAGCTCCATCTTGTGCTGCCAGGGCCTGATGGAGGCGATGGTGTCCGATTCCTTGATTGTGAGACTCTTCTGCTGCTCAACAGGCGCTGATTTTTGCGCGGACCACGTGGACAAAGCCCAGGGACATATCCGCCAACTTTGTCAAGGTTGCTTCAAGTGGCTGGCCCTGGCCTACTTCAACACCCACTACAATTGTCTCTCCAATTAGGCCCCCCCCCCACCGGCGTTCAACAGCTCTAGCTCCTGCATCGCACACGTGTAAAAGCACGCGCCTCCGAGAGGGCCCAAGATTTGAAAGTGTGATGAGGGTCAAACTTCCAGCTCGCTTCGAAGTCAACACTGGGATTGCTTCGGGGGAAGCACTGCGCGCCTTGTTTGGAAGCTTGTCAGTCTTGCTGACGCCACCGTCTTCTGGGGCATCGTGTCGCTCACCTCGGTCTCTTCTTTGAGAAGTAAGTGCCAAGAAGTCAGCTGTACAGACGCGGACCCTATCTACTTGCTAAGTGGTTTACGACCGCCGCTCGTATAGGGCTTGCTGCATTTTGCTTTGAGTAGGGCCGCCCTGAAGACAAAGTACGTGTTGTCACTGCTTTCAAGTGACGCTGAAGCAACGCACTGCCGGATATGAGCCCTATAGGAAGCATTCGTTCGAAAGAGTAGTGGTGTTTAGTTTCCTAGCTCAAGTAAGCGCATCGTCGCAGCGCCATGCTGAAGGGCACGAGCTTTGCGCCGTACGCGAGGCGCAACAGAACTCAGCTGGGCCCCTGTGATCACTTCCTGCTCCGGCCAAGGTTCAAGTCGATCCACACCACCCCGTGGCGATCGTCGGTTCTGAGATACATGGAGCCCTCACTAAGCATGCAAAATCCTAGCAAACAAGCTGGTTTACCCAGAGCAATCGGAGCAATGCGTTGCTATCCACTACGTCAGACCGATAGCCGCAGGCTTTCGAAAATTCCAGCAGGGGAGTGCTGACGAGAAAGCCTGTGTGGGAGAGAGCTAGCTGATTGAGCAGTCCCAGCGTTTCCCACATCATTGCAAGCGGGGCCGAGCTGCGATTTAGATACATTCGTTGCAAAGAAGGCCGCCGGCATCGCGAGGAACTAGCTGAAATGGAAGGGCGACGAGTGTCGGATTCGTTGCTGTCCGGATCACAGAGGTGTGAGAAGTCGGGATCACAGAGGTGTGAGAACATCGAACCGGGGCAGGGGTGCCTCTAAATATTTTGAGCAGAGCAAACAGATAGCAAGCAGCGCCTTAGCGTATGCACTCATTGTGCTCCAGGGATTCGCGAGGCTGTTGATGCCAGTGTGTGGATCGAGTCCGCGCGACAAATTTGCTAATTCGTCAGAGCGAAAATCAGCTAGACTTCATTGCTGGTAATGCGAATTAGCTAATTCGACAGAGCGAATATCATCTAGACTTCATGCTGGTGATGCTGGCGATGCCGGTGATGCACTCCGTAGATCAAGGCGACGGGTGTCCGTGCGACGAATTTGCTAATTCGTCAGAGCGAAAATCAGCTAGACTTCATTGCTGGTAATGCGAATTAGCTTTACTTCGCCAGAGCGAATCTCAGCGTCTCAGCTAGACTTTATTGCTGGTAATGCTGGTGATGCTGGCGATGCCGGTGATGCACTCCGTAGATCGAGGCGACGGGTGTCCGCGCGACGAATTAACTAATTCGTCAGAGCGAAAATCAGCTAGACGTCATTGCTGGTAATGCTGGCGATGCCGGTGACGCACTCCGAAGATGAAGGCGACACGGCGACAGGTGTCCGTGCGACGAATTAGCTAATTCGTCAGAGCGAGAATCAGCTAGGCGTCATTGCTGGTGATGCTGGCGATGCCAGTGATGCCGTCTGTAGATCGAAATGACGGGCATCCGTGCGACGAATCAAGTAATTCGACAGAGCAAATACGCTGCTTGGTGTAGGTATCAGATGCTGCCACTGCGCCGCTCCCACGAGTCCTGGAATGCCTTGGCTAGTTCCCAGCCCCAAGCGTTTTCAGGGGTCACTTGTGCTTACGCCCGGCGGGCATAAGAACAAGTGGGGGCCAACCGGAACAAGTGACCTGGTCACTTGTTCGCTAAAGTGCCTACTTGTTCTTAAGCCCGCCGGGCGTAAGAACAAGTGACCCCTGACGCAACAATGGCTTTAGCCGCGAAAAAAAGGCAGCCACTGACAAAACACAAATTAGAAACTCTATTGCAGAACGCCCAAATCACAAAAAATGCAGCCCGACCAAGCACGCCAGTGACAGGCCCAGGAAAAACTGTACAACAAATTGGCACCCACACACAACAACCAAATTAGAAGCCCTAGTTGAAAAAGCCCACTTCACGAGAATCATCAGCCAGACCAGTAGCCAGTGCCAGGCCTTGAAAAAATCCAGCTGCACAAAATGCACGGCGAACAAAATAGAATCTTTACATAAAAACCAACTTCACGAAAATCATCAGCCCGACAAGTAGTCCTTTGTAGCCACCTGTGTAGGTTTACATTTCAGCGCCCGGTCGCAAAGGAAACTGTGCGTGCTGTCGCGCCCCGACCCTGCCAGCAGTCGGGCCCCGACCCCGCCAGCAGTCGGGCCCCGACCCCGCCAGCAGTCGGGCCCCGACCCCGCCAGCCGACCTTTTCCTGAAGCAGGATGTTTTGAGTAGCACTTCTAATTTGCATGTTGTCTGTGTTACCGCCTTTCTTTGTCCAGCTGGATATTTGTCAGGGCCTGTCACTGGCCTACTTGTTGGGCTGATGATTTTCGTGAAGTTGGTTTTTTCTCCAACAGCTGAAAGCTTTGGGGTCTCAGCCCAGATAGGCTCCGGGGTGGTCCCGGACGGCCCTGAGGTGAGGTTCCGCGAGCGTTCCACCAAGGTCCAATGACGTTCCATCAGGGTTCCACGAGGTTCTGCGAGGGGTGCGGGGTGATGCGCGCACTAAAAAGAGCACCGCATGCTGTTGGGGATGCCACCTGAGCTTTTTTTTTCAGGTAGAGCGACTGTTTTGAATTTGTTCACCGTTTATTTTTGGCAGCTGGATTGTTTTCAGGGCCTGGCACTGGCCTACTTGTCTGGCTGATGATTCTCGTGAAGTGGGAGTTTTTAGCAGAGCTTCTAATTAGTTTTTTGTGTGGGGTTGCCGCCCTTTTTTTTGCGTAGCTGGATTTTTGTCAGGGCCTGTCACTGGCCATCAAAAAACAAGACACGTTTCAATCATGTTCCTTAGTCTCCTGCTCCCGTGCTCTTCTGGTCTCTTGTTTTTTTGCAAGTGGGATGTCTTCGCCGGGCTTCTGGTTTGTTGTGTGGCTGCCGCCCTTTTTTGCGCGGCTTGATTTTTTACAGGGCTGTCACTGGGCTGCTTGGTCGGGCTGCTGCTTTTCGTCAAGGTAGAGCTTCTAATTCGCTTGTGTGTGGCTGCCTTTCTTTTGTGCAGATTGATGTTGTTCAGGGCCTGTGGTCGGGCCCCAACTCCGTCGGCGGTCGGGCCCCGACCCGTCGGCGGTCGGGCCCCGACCCCGCCGGCGGTCGGGCCCCGACCGCGTCGCCGGTCGGGCCCCGACCCCGTCGCCGGTCGGGCCATGACCCCCTCGGCGGTCGCCCCTTCAATGGTTCTAATTTGCTTTGTAGCTGCCGCCGTGTTTTTGCAGCTAGCTTTTGTTTGGGGCCTGTCACTGGCCCGGGCTGATGCTTTTCGTGAAATGTGATGCTTTTAGTAGGGCTTCCAATTTGCTTGTTGTGTGTGGCTGCCTTTTTTGCGAAGTTGTTTTTCAGGGCCTGCTAGTTGTTTGCTTGGTCGGGGCTGCTGCTCTTCGTCACGTGGGATGTTTTTAGTGGGGCTTCTGGATTTTTTGTGCGCGGCTTGTTTTCAGGTCCTGTCACTGGTCTGCTTGTTCGGGCAGCTGTTTTTTTGTCAACTGTTTGTTGGCAAGTAGAGCCTCTAATTTGTTTGTTGTGTTTCGCTGCGCTTTGTGTTTTTGCAGTTTGTTTTTGTTTCGGGCTTGTCACTAACCCACTTGATTGTTTCTTGATTGTTTATTTTTTTTGCGCGGTTATATTTGGCCGTTTACTAGTCTGCTTGGTCGGGCTGCTGCTTTCTTAATGATTTTTGCGTAGGGTGTCTAATTTGCTTGTTGTGTGTGGCTGCCGTTTTGTTGCGCTAGCTGTGTTTTTTTCAGGCCCCAGCGTGGCCGGCTGGGTCGGCCTGCTGCTTTTGTAGGGCTTGTAATTTTTCTTTTTGTGTGTGGCCCCCGTTTTTTTGCGAAGCTTGTTTCTTTCAGGGCCTACTTGTCGGGCTGATCACTTGCGTGAAGTGGGGCGTCTTTCAGGAGGGCTCCTAATTTGCTTGTTGTGTGTGGGCGCCGTTTCTTTTGCGCAGCTGGAGTTTTTCAGGGTCTGCCATGGGCCTGCTTGGCTTTGGTCTCTT